TCTAAGATTTAAGAAAGTGAGAGCTCAACAAATATTGAGGGATTTGAGGCAAAATGTTTTGTCAAAAGGTTAAAATTCAGAGTTTCAGTCGAAAAGCATGGAGATTTTTAATGGAAGGAACAGATGCTGAGGCTAGATTGTCATTGCCTGACAGGTGATGATTGTGCAAACGTTTTATTGTATCCTCATGTTTGCATACTGTTTTGTTTCAGAAGGATCTGGTGATATCACTGACCCCACAGCTTAAAGGAGAAAAGAGGGATGGCTCATCTGCTAGTGATCCATATGTTGCATTTAGAAGAAGAACTGAAAAGATGCAAACAAGAAAGGTAGATGATTGTCAGTTTAACTGAAAGTGTTTCATTTAAAGATACTTTGTGCTGTGTAGTGTTATTTAAACCTTTGATATAACTTTTCCACCCTGTTTTTGCAGAATCGCAAGAATGATGAAGCCTCGTATGAAAAAATGCTGAAGCTTCGCAGAGATTTAAATAGAGCTTGCACAATATTGGATATGGTGAAGAGGAGAGAGCAGTCAAAAAAGGAACATCTGCAGCTTACTATTCAAGTGTTTGAGAAAAGGTACAACATCACTTTTTGTGGCAAACCAGGCCAAGCACACTTTCAAGAGGAAATAAAAAGATCTTAATTTTAAAATGGGAGAGGATATAGACTCTAAAGGTTTCTACTTACCAAGTGGCAGTCATGGTAGCCCTAGTGGTTGTTCTGTCGGACTGTGGATCAAGAGATCCAGGTTTTAGCTCTGTTGGGGTCACTGTGTAGTGCTGTTGGGAAAGGTGTGAGTTTGATGGTGCATCTCTCCACCAAGAATGTTCATGGGTATTTGCAAACTGTAAGGAAGATGTGATCTGACAAAATGCTGGGGTAGTGCATGATTGATTGACGTCCCATCCATAGAGTAATATTACTCAGTTACTCTTTGCTATGGAAACCATAATAAGATTTGATCAGATGGGTTACTAAGTCCTAAGGCTGTCTTTAAGGCTGTGAGAAACAGATATGAATTTGATTATGTAGACCCCCAACAGATTCAAATTCCAGATATTTTATTCATTAATAGAATCTACGGGATATTCCATACCCAATCTGATTATAAGTCTGTGTTAATCAAATTTCTCAGCAACACTTACATGTATTGGAATTCGTTATAATAAACAGAATATCTGACTATTCTTTTCAATTGGCACTAATGTTAATTCCATTTTATATATACTAGATATGCTGCTGGAGATTTTGCAGGTCAGATCCTTCAACAGTGTATGGATATGATCAGATATCAACCTCCAGCCACCAATCTTACTGTGCCAACATCAGCAGGCTATGGTGAGAATGTAACACCTGGCTCGGGTACAGGAGGGGAGAGGGATCACGAATTATGGAGAAGAGGAGCACAGGTAAAAAGATTTCTTCCAAAACTCATCTACATGCATCATCTATAAAAACTATGTTAATAACCTAATATACATGTGTCATTCTTCTTTTTTTCCTAGGAAAGGGCACGAGCAGGCAAGAATGACTACCTGAATTACAATGAATTAGGGTAAGTATGTCAGATTTGATAACTAACTATATGTAACTTTTGAGAGCATAGATAAAAATCTTTTGTTGTTGTTGTTGTTTTCATTATTTAATTTCTAATATAGTTGAAATGTGTCAAACTCTTCTGCAGTATTAAGAGGCCTAAGCTCAGTCACCCTGCCAAGGCACCTCACATTCAACCATCTGGAGATCAGATATTGTTCAGTGATGATGAGGAGCCAATTCACGTCTCTCCGCCTCCAGTAAGGAAACGTACTAGACTGTCTAGTATAGTTGATTTTAGAATCAGCTTGGAAGCAATTATTCAGTTCTTGAGCTATACAGGAAGGGGTGAAGAATATCTGACTTAGACAAAATCAGGACAAGCTGTAGTTCAAATCTGTATGGTTGACGTCGATTTTTCTTAGTCCCACATGCGTGACAAGTGTAATATACCTTTAACTGTTTTGTGTTCGATTGTTTTTGTGTGTTCAATCTAGTTATCGAGTTCTTAGGTGTTTTCTCTTTGGAACTGAGGTATTTTCTTGCTAATCATCACTGGGTTACTTTTCTTCCAATCAACCAGGTGGATATTCCATCAGAACCTGAAGATGATGAAGAAGACCCTGATGGTAGATTCGCATTTAAAAGAAAGCTTGGCGTCAGATACATCGCGGTTGGTTGATTCGAGTATTCCTAATAAATGCAAGAACATTCTTTTTGCATGAATAATTAAATGTTTTAATGGTACAGAACTACCCTAATAGATGTTTTTAATCCAAAGAGTAAAGTTATTTCCTTTGTTGTTCCTCAGCCTCGATTCGATATGCCAGAGCCGCTGCCATGGGTAGATCCCTCCGAAGGTGGTTTGGGTGATAGGAGATTTCGTTTCAGTTGTACATCAATATCATCGCCGCAGAGAGTCATTGGATTTGCGCGGAGGAGAGTGGGTCGAGGTGGAAGGTGAGGCAGCTCTCTCACTCTCTTTGTGCTGATGTTCTTAATACTGTTGGTCCACATGCGCAAAGTGATGTGTATAACACATTGTACGTGTATCTTCTTTTTTGTGTAGGATATATATGGATCGGGGCTACAGTCCTTTATCGGAAGACTTAGACGAGTTAGACATGCGTCTAAACGCTTTACCGTCATCGTCCTTCTCGTTACCCAATGGTTTATTTCCATATGACCACCTAACAGGCTGGAAGAAGCCATCGTTGTAAGTTTTTAGTCTCTTTTACATTAACTTTTACCTAAGTTTCGTGCTTTTAAGCTATACTGTCGGTGATGTTGCATGTATGCTTTTTACAATCGTAACATCGCGAAGTGTTCTTAACTTTGCCACTGTATTGCTCACGGGAAATGAGTTAAGTTTTCTATTTACATTCCTATATGAAACCGAGAGAAAAACCTTAGCCCCGGAAAGTTTGACTTCGAAGGTGTTGAAGAATTTCTTGAATGATTAATACCAAAAAAGCTATTAACCCTGTCGAGAGCATAGCCTTAGGTGGTTGGATATTCATATCCCAACTAATTGTCGTGATAAAAAATGATTTCAGTATTTGCTAGAACGTGCCTTTTGTCTTACTCGTATATGTTTCTTATCTTCAGACTGCACTTCAGACCCAAATCACCGCCTGCACAAGTATCACTCTCGTCATTTTCGTCTTCATCGTCGTCGGAATCTCCGCCTTCCAATAAGCAAAGTGGAGAACCAAGACCTCGCCTTCACAGAAGCTTTTCTACGCAACAACGGTCGAAATTTTCGCTCAATCCCACCCCGACAAACGGGGTGGTAGGACCAAACTTTACGCATTCAACTCTGAATCGTAGCTCGCTACCAAATGGACCTTTATCAAATCAAGGTGGCTACACCACGGGGACGTTGCTTAGTAAAAACGCCGCATACTCAACAGCGCCCATGAAGACGGTTTATGCTTTGAACTTTCCGGTCACGAACAATTTGGTGCGGGGAAGCGCGCCATTTTCACCCACCTCTCACAACTCTTCGCCGTCAACCGGTACTGTGTCGAGAGCGAACGCTGCTGAAAGCTCTGGCGTTGAACAAATGTAAGCAATTTTAAAGTTTCTGATATATAAAACTAATACATGAGGTCATATTAGGGTATCTCACCGTGGCAGATAATTGGGCGTGGGCGTGGGCGCGGGGAGGGGGGGGGGCTGGGAGGCTTAGTGCTAGTTACCTGTTAAACTGTCTTTTCAGAAGGCAAACGGAAAAGACTACCACGCAAGCTTCGGTGGCAAAAGTAACTCGCATTTTCACTAGCCTGTCATTCCTGAACGAGAGCGTGGAACAGGCTAAGTCGGTCTTTGCAACAGTTTTAATTAACACTGAGACTTTCTTCGCTCCTCTTAAGTCATTTTATTCAAAATAGAAGAATGTACATCCATCTCAAGACAGTTTTTGTTGTTGCTGTTTTTCAGGGAATTAGATGCAAATCGAGCAGATGCCCTGCTGGATGGATTAGGAACCTCAGTCAACACATTACCAAACGCAACGTAATATTCGTGGAATAATCTAAATGGAACAACGCAGCGTACTTTAGTGTAGTTATTAACCAGGTTTGAGGCCAAGTTAAAGGCCTAGATTACTGGTCGTGTAGTGAGTGTTTCGAAATACTCATGTAAGGGCCGTAGAAGCGTTGGAACTCCGTGAAATGTCTAGTACATTGGAATTTTCGAAGGAAAAGCGGAAGCGGATAAATGTGTTAAAGACCCTGATTATTGTCAGGACAGCAAACCTACTTCAGTCACTTGATCATTGCAGTCGTTTATGTACTCATGGTATTTACTTTTGGGAAACAAACTCAGCATAAACTTGACCTACTTCACTGTTCGTTCTCTCTAACTTCAGCTAAGTTTCGCTCGGTGCAACAAGTTACTCATTTGGCATATTTGCCATAACTACGCCAATCATTTGTTTTGTGTCACAACTGGGTCTCCTGAATGATGAAATTGTTTTGCACAAGGTAACTCTATTGGAAGTTGTTGCTGTGTTTTTGTGTGTGCAAAAATGAGTTTGAGACTTTTTGCATCTTGCTCAAAATTTGTATATTATTTGAAGTTCACTTTCAGAACGCTTTTTTCGTATAGTTTTGTATATTATCACGTTGTTTCGTAGTTTGCTTTTGAAAGAACTGCATTTACTTTCCGAGCTGTAGTTAAGAAGAACGTTCAGTCACATCCAAGAAAAAAAACAGACATTAAACTTCAAAGTTCGAAAACGTCGACAAACTCAGGGAGGTATGAATTTAGTGAAGAACAACCACATCCTGCTCGTGTTGCACGTAGTGATGCCTCGTTTCTTTAAAACCTCCTCAATTTGAAACATCGGCGGCAAAAAAAATATGAAACTTCAAGCGAAAAGTGGGCGATAACTGTGTTGCTATGTACGGAACCGATCAGTGTACAAAGTTAATAAAACCCGATCGATGTTCCTGTATTTTTTAAAACATTATTTATTACAAATTATAGGAAGATTATTTGCGTATCATCAATACACTTGACTGTGTTGACTAGGTTACGAGAATTAACATGTATTGTGCGCGTTGATGAGCTGTTTAGCGTAATTGGATCTTGACAGCTAACACTCTGTTCTGCGTACTCGGTAGACAAGCAGAGTTTGAATTCAATTGTTCTCCTTAGATGAAACAAAGTCGTATATTTTATAAAGCAATCCGCCATGTCCAAAACAATACACTCTTTGTACAAGTGCCCCTTTCTTATTTCCTTCTAATGTATTTGTGTACAATAAAAATTGCTGATGACCAAACAAATGACAAAGTGTTTATCAGCGGGGTCTAAGTTCTTGCAAGCCAGGATTAAATGTTAGCTTGTCTCACTGCTTGGCTGGGACGCAGAGAAATCAAACTGCTGCCAGAGGTGCATCATTCACTGCTCCCTGCAAATGGCTGGCAATACACCTGCATGCGCACATTAGTTTTTTTTCCAAAATAACCAAGAACGCACTCTTAAATTGAATGTTCGACTCGTGGTGTCAAAAGTAAACTAGGACCCAATTAGCCTTGCTCTACTCAGTTTTGTTATGGGAGAGTTTATTCTTGCTTCGCGGATTTACTTGGTTTTTCTTCCGGTTTACTTTGTATTGGTCCCGATTGGCTGTTATAATCAATGACACTCAATAAAATCATGACACTCAATAAAAATGCACTCTGGTGTGAAAACGAAAACACCTAACACCCTTTTTTCTCACGTGAACTTCTCCTTAGTTGTTTCCTGCGCAAGGTATCTTTAAAGATTCTGCTGCGGGTCTTAAATTATGGGAATTAAATCTATATAATTAGGTTCATTTACTGTTCTGTTCGGCCTTTCCTCGAGAGGTGCACGAACACACGATTGGGACAGCAGCTTCTGTCGTCTCTAAATGAAGGGATTTTCATAATTAACGAGTGGGTGGGGGTTGTCAGTTATAGCATCATTCTAAATTTAATTTCTGAAGTTGTGAGTCCTAGAATCTCGATCTCTTGGGATGGTTGGCCAATCAAGGCCTTGCTTCATTTCTCTGCACGTGACGGGAACGCAGTCTCTTCACTTGGCTATGCGCTGTGCAAATCTGGCAAAACGGACCCTACAAAGCAAATAGCAACCTATATTAGCGTGCACTTGTGTCTTCTCCCTTTACCATCTGTAGCTTTTTTTCATAGCCATGCAAAGAACATTATGGGAAATACCATAATACTGTCAACAAGTAGATTGAGGGTTACTTGTACAAGCCTGTTTCTCTCAGTGTCTTTTATTGTTAGCGCAACTTATACCAGCTAAACCTCAACCTCTTGACAATTTGCAAACCCAGTAACTTTGTTCTCAATGAAAGCAATATTCATTTGCTTGAGCAGATGCAATTTATCTTTCATTCGTACAAGCACCTCGATTTCCAATGTGACAAGCTGGAAAAGGAAACTTGAATAATCAAGCCTTAGGAAGCCCAACATTGCGCAAAAAACCCAGCTGCAGAATTAGGTTTATACGTGGTACCACCCAAACCTGCATAGGGACGGATGGGAGAGTCCTGCTTGTACACTTCATTTGCTATGGTGCGGCCGTCTGCGCATATCTGACGGCCGATGATTTGTCACGAATTTAGTGCCAAACACTGCCTTTGATATCTTTACTTGATCATTACTCACCACGTCACGAGCTGGTAAACAATCTTCATGATAAACATGTTTACAGAAAAAAACCACAACATGTGAGGTTCGTTTTGTATCTGAAAAACAAAATCATTCTCCTGTCAAAAGAGATACCACTAGTACACCAGTGGTGCAAACCACGAGACTTTCACAGCGGATGAAAGTAAAGATAAGGAACAAGTCAACCCCCAAGACTAGACAAGATAAAGTTAGGTTCTTTAGAGCGTTTACAGACCTATTTCAATATTTTTTATCAAATTTGTTTACGGAGATCAGAGGAGAAACTAAGGAAAAAAAAATCCTGTGTCGCCAAGGAAGCTTTCTCAGAAATTCTATGCCGCGTAAGCTCATTCTCCACAAAACATTAAAAGATTCACAAAACACTAATTCACGGAGACAGATAACAAGTGAGGAATTGCCTCCAATGTAAGGCATATGCACGGAATTCAGTATCTTAGCTTGATCACGTTTTGTTCTAACATTTGTAGTGTTCTCGTTTAAGAAACCACAATGGAAAGAGAGGTAGAGCAGATGGGAATTCTCAACCAAAGATTAAGAGACACCAGAACCTGAATGCACAGTCACAAATGTTACCTAACAAATGAAGAAAAGATAAGCAGTCATACCAAAAAGGGGACATTCATTTCTTCCTCTTTTTATATTATTCTTTTCAGGAGGGGGGTTGTGGCACTAACCTTCAGCAATAACTGCTCCTTGACAAACGGGACACTTTGTTTCATCTACAACGACAAAACCACACATAAGAATAAGATTAACAGTAATCGTGCCAGCTTATAGGTTCATGTGGGGCCTGTATACGAAAATGATTCAAAAACTGACGAGGCTTTTCCCAGTTTCTAAAAACACGAAGCAACTTAATACACAGGTGAAAAATTAAAGGTACAGTCAGGCTTCTCTCAAGCTAAGTGCCCCCCCTCCCCCCCGCCTCCCCCACAAGCCGGAGCTTATCCCTGCCTCGCGATTCTGTTAGAGTCTTCAGGCACCCACTTCTCCTGGGTGGAGACAGTCACTGTGAGTGAAGGATCTTACTACAATAACACAACAGAATGACTCAAACTAGGGTTTGAGCCCGATCTGGCAAAGCGTTCTGGATAAAAAATAAAAAACAATCCAGGCTGAGTCTGAGGATTATTCTGCAGGATACATACCGTCAATTGACACTCCCCTTTGCTGAACCTTGCTCAACCTTTGTAGCAAAGACACGCTGCAGAGAGGAGAAAAGCTCACATTACTGGATTTCAGCATTTCCCTCAGTGAAATCAACGCGGTGCTGAGTAATACGAAATGTTTCAAGCATGATCTTAGCTACTTGAACGACATCACCTCCATGTCCTGCATACAGCAGCGTGTAACGCGTTCCTCGTGTAAAACCCATGCAAGAAATTTATAACATTGAATATTGTAGGTGACCAACTGATCGTAAGTTTCACATCTTTTCAATTTCAAATACGAATGAACTAATTGGTTTAATGAATATAACACCAAATTTTTTTTATATAATGGAGGATAAAGCCTCTTATCTCACCTGTCTTTGACGAGAATCTTTTTGCAGCCTTCACGAAGAGAGATCTAGAAATAAAACACCGCTTCAGTTTGAATAACACGTATAATGAAACTAAGCAATTATTACTTGTACATGAAAGTAACTCTGGTGATAAATCAAGTTAAACCAGTTTTCAATGGAGTGTCGCAAAACCAAAGTAATACCTGCGACCAATTAGAACAAAGGTTTATAATATCAGTAGCCAATGAGAATCCAAAGTGAACACAAGGAAATCGCTTGCAGCGCGGGAAAACGCGAATGACCAAGTCCCGATTGTTTTGAGTTTTGCATTTGATTGGTCGAGAGAAGGGTGCGAATTTCTTGGGTCACACCGAGACCAACGCAATTCCTGATTAATTTCGACACACACTTGAAAACCCCTCTATATAGTAGTTTACTCACAAGCCGAACACAAAAGGGAAACCAGAGCAGCCTAAACTAAAACGGATAACACTGAAAGACGTATGAAATTTTACTTCAACGCAACTCGAAGTTGTGCACGTTAGATGGGCTAACGCAACCAAAACTTGTTAGTACTGCTTCAGTCAGGCCAGTTACCTGCAAATTGAAGTCTTGAAGAATTTTCACCAATGAATCTCTCAAACCAGGAATCTTCATTCCCTCAGGAATCCTCTGAGAACATGAAAGAAAGCATGTAGCCGAGTCAAGTATAGCCTGATTACCAGTTGTTTTCGTTTCTTTCAGCTAAGCGGTAGTCTTGGTTAAAGAAAGGTCTGCTCTAAATATAGATAAGCCATGAATCGTGTCAGCTTTCATTGGAGGAGGACTGCGTTAAATTGACACAACACTGGTTGTCTACACGACGCAGTTTAGGAATGTTCACCGAACTGACACTATGTTATTGATACTGAGACAAACTGATTTTGAAACATTCATACCTTTATGAGTTTGATCGGATCAACATGAGTCCCGATATTATGCAAGAGCCCCGTGATAAACTCTGTAAAGAAAAAAAAATTATATTCTTTAAAATATTTGCTTTTTACCTCAGGTTCCAAAATGATTATCCCGACTGAGAAAGGACGTAAAAATATAAATAATTTTTTGCGTCTTGTGCACGTGATGAAATAAGGAGATGAGAGTAGGTGCGTACAGAAGAACGGAGTGCGGAGGCTCAACTCAGGCTCCCATACAAAAGCAGTGACATACCTGGTTTGTCAAGAGAATAATTGATCAGATCATCCCATAAATCTTCGTCGTCTTGTTCTTTGGCGAATTCAATTGCCTGTCAATCAATAAATATCATGTTATTCATACACTACAAACTTCAAATCACCTCACACTAATGAGAACTTTTAGTATATACCACACAGGTGAATAATGCTTTTCGCGCGCGTTGATTGGCTGGTTCAGAGGTGATTAGCAAGTGCTACTCACCTCCAAGAAGCCAAAGAGACAAAATCGCGCGTCAACAACTCAATCAATTTTTTGTTATATTGTCAGAAATAAACTATTTTTATTTTGTTGGTGTGTGGTATATACTTAAACTATTGTTCACCTCACGGTCGGTGAAAGAGGTGGATATTTACCAAGCTGCGAAGCGCCGAGGTAAATATCCACCTCTATTCGCCTCCACCTCGGTGAATAATTATTAACTGTTAGTCACACATGTTTTCATGAGACGTACCTTCTCTACATCATTTTCTTCCTGAATTATCAACTGCAAAGCTTGCTTGTTGTTTCCCATGCGACCTGAGTAAAAAAAAAAAATGAAAAGTAATAAACGACATGGCTGCAAGTTCTAAAAATTAAGATACGTTCCAACAAGCAGGATTGTATTGACAAGTTTCTTTGGCATTATGCGAGGGAAATTGGGACTCGTTTTTCCTGAATAAGTCTCCTTCTTCAAAATCAGACATGCACGTTCTTAAAAATGGAAATTTGTGAGTGAAATTGTAAAAGGCTTTGGGAGAAATTCTACTCCATGAAGTTTTCTTTGCCAGATCCATGCACACAGATTACACTTTCCACATTGCTGATCCTCGCAGTATGCAAGATCCCTGTCAGATATGAACCTGGTATGGGCCAAAATAACCATACACCGAAAGGTCCCAAGGTCTAAGGTTCGATTCTTCGTGAGAAAAAGAGATTGTTTCCTTTGTCTCAGTCCTAGGGCAATTGAACAGCCTTTTCTATTATTTGCAAAGACCGAACTAAAAATTAAACTGTTTAAGACTCCATTTTAAACTCGTTTGCGAAGAAGTGGATTTAATAATAATAAATAACAGCAGCATGGCAATTCTAAATAATTACAAGTTTTAATCTAACTCTATACTCACTGAGCAAAAAAACCATCTCCGGAACCAAGCGCCTCTGTTCACACTCGTTTAGAGCCTAAGACAGATTCGGGTGTGAAATGGAGATAAGTTGTAGTTGAATGATCGAAGTGAATTACAACGAACAAATAGTAAAAGTAGTTCTTGTAAGTAAAGAATTACCTTTTGCAGAGGATAATAATTGCTGTTTCTCAGAAAAGTAAGCAATTTTGATCGCTCAAATTCTGCATAAAGAGGAATCTGAAAAAACAATATGGCACCAGATTATTATCTCGATGCTATGATAAGGTTTCTTATCTTCTCTAAAATCGTTAAAGGTAACTAAACAAAAGCTTCTCACCTGAACCATTTGACTCTTTGAGGGTGAGCAGTTCGCGCAAATACCAAAAAGAATCTCTGATATAACTTTCCAGCTCGTTTTATCACGCACAAATTTCTCGCCCTTAGCGTTAGAGAGAGTCAGGTGTTCCCCGCGTTTTAACCGTTTTATACAAATTATTTTTTTTATAAGTATATAAAAGAGTGAACCATCTCATTGGTTGAGAGGATGACGCAAGTTTTCTGGACCAATCACAGAACAAAGTGGATATCTTTCAACACTCCACTAAACATAGCTCTATCAGTTGATCGCAGTTCATGGTATCAGCCTATGATTTATGTTAGATTTACCAACAACAAAGAAACGAAAGCAGTAGCAAAAAGGTATATTAAAATGCTTATACCTGTAGTTCGTGATAATCCATCCCGGCTTGTGGATCCTTCACGAAGAGCGAGTCAAGATACTAAACAAAGAAAAGCCATTTCTGAAAGTGTCTTTCAGTGTAGCAATAACCTTAAATACTCCTTACATCAGCTAAAATTATACCATAAGAAATCAGCTTTAAAGTTCTCCTTCACAGTAAACTTACTTGAAGGCAGTTTTTCACAACGGTGGAAATTATTCAAAATATTACACCTGAACTCCGCTATGATTGAAACATTCCTGTTAGTTCATTCTGATCGAACCGTATGGATTGGAGGACATTGGGACAGCATTTCCTTTGTGCGGAGAATTTCATTTTGAATCAACCCACGCAACAGTTATGATACTAACCACATGAAGAAGTTCTGATCGCCTGTTCAGTTGGCGCACAACCTCTTCAACCTGAAATTGAATGATTAAGGTTCAGACCGTCCCACACAGAAAAATAATCATGGGAACCTGTTTATTGAGTTAAGAGGGTGACATGGTGAAGCCTGATACAAAGAATAAACTGAAGCCTTAATTCAAAAAATTAATGTCTATATCTAACCTGATCTTAGAATCCTGCGCACAAGAGAGCTTTCGATATAACCGTCGTAGAAGGTGTAATTTTCTGTGCGTTTTTTAAGTAAGCGGAGAGGTGCGTGGCGAACGCGAAGGGTGAGGCATGCGCGAAGGTAGATCCACGCGCGAAGAGTGAGGTACGCGCGACATTTATCCTTCGCGTTCGCCTCGCGCTTGTCTCTGTTACCCTGTGAAACGAAAGCGGTTGTTCACTTATTCCGGAAGACGGTTGTTCACTTATTCCGGAAGACGGTTGTTCACTTATTCCGGAAGACGGTTGTTCACTTCTTAAAAACAAGAGAGGGAAAAGTAAACAGCGAACTCCAACGATCAAGGACGGCTTATTCTCGCTGACTTGATGCCGCCAAATGAACGAGTTACCAAGAACTAATTGTATCACAAATGTCTAACGTAAATTATTTAAACGTAGAGAATGTAAGCGTGCACATAAAGATTGTATACCATGCAAATCAACGCATCTCAGTTTACAACATTGATGACAGTTACTGTCAGTCAGCTCTAACCAAAACATTTTTTTTTAAGTTTCAGAGCTTCACTTACAGGAACTTTGTCTGTATTATCAATCAACATCTTCACGGCTTTCTAGAAAACAAATAAAATAACAAGTACTGAGAAAGTTTAGAAACTAACGCCTGCTTGATACATTGCTCTCTTATTTAGATGTTATATTTTCCCTAAAAACTCTTCCACTAAATCTTGCACTGAACGTCGACCCTTGACGCTCAAATCGAGCAGCTTCCTTTCATGCTTTTGTGTTTACAGAGACAGAAAAAAAATGTTTATATATGTACCTCTTTGTCAAATTCCATGAGCATAATAATCTTGTCCTGAATAGAGCTAAACAAGTTGTGTTGATGGATCAAGTTAAACACATCGCTATGTCCAAGTCTGTAAAATAAAGACAGTTTGCACATGTGCATTAATTACTAGCGTAAAATCTTTTAGTTTTCAAGAAAATGAATGTTGTTTCATGCGAAGAGATGAAGCTGGAAAACTTCTCTGTCTTCCACTTTCCTCCAAGTTTTGGTTGGCTTGTTAATCCTTCAACCCCAAAGAATGACTAGGATCTAACTTCTCCATATAGTATCACCCATGAATCAAACATTAAGGTTATGAGAATAAAGGAACTGATCACCAACCAAATTCTCCTTGTCTGCACCGTAGGTAATATTCAGACAACAGTATGGAGAACATTCAGACTGATGTTCGAATGTAAAAAGGTTCAACTTGAAAGCAAGCTGACTTTGATATTTCTTTTTCCACGCTCAGTAAATGTTACCAAAGTTTTTACTCTTTAAATTCCATGTATTCTGCGAACAGATGTATCAAGGGATTGAAAGCAAATCATACTTAAGGTATATGGCGAGCCCTTTATCATATCTCTTCAGCCGCGTGTAACTGTAACAGAAAAAGATTGCCAAAAAAGCTGTTAGTATTCGAACGTAAGCTTGAAAAGTGAAATAAAACAGAACAAAATACTCTTGACTCACAGTTCTCCAAGAGTTTCCAAAAGAACACGGTTCTTAGGGTCCTTATCCAGCTGATCCTAAAAAATGTCAATAACAAACTACGAGGTCAGTTGCTTTCTTAGTCAGTCAGAAGTTATGTTACACTCAGACAGCCAGCCATTTTGGGTGAGGTTGTCAATCAGTCTGTCTGTTAGTCAGTCAATCATTCACTCTGATGATGGACTAAAGCTCGAAACGTCAGCTTTAGAAACTCTTTACGGTGGCTAATTCACATTATAAACTCAGCTGATAAAACCAAATTATCTTGTAATACCCCCCCCCCCCCAGATGCAGCACCAGTTTATTTATAAACTTATCCCCTGTAGGCACCAAGTCAGTTTGTCAGAAGGTTTCAATCCATAGGTCAGTTAGTCAGTTGGTTAGTCTACCAGTCAGGCAGCGAGAGACAGTTGGTCCATCAGTGGGTCAGAAAGTTCTTCAGCCAGTCAGTCAGTTGGTTGATCAGTCATTCAGTCAGTCAGTCAGTCAGTCAGTCAGGTACAGTCACCCTACAGTGAGCCAGTTAATCAGATTCATTTGTTTTAATGTCCTTCCCACTCACCTGTATAGCATTAATGATGGGCTGCATACCGTATAAATCTGCTGGCCATTCCTTGATCAGTGCCTGGAATTTCTGAAATACAAACAGGAATTTCCAAAATAATCAAATCCACATTCGAAGAGGCTTTAATGAATGTCAACACCAAGCAAGTGAACAAATATTAGTACCCCAAACACCTGAAATATTTGCAGAATATGCACTGTATTGTGACCAATCATATGGGAGATCAGGACACGAAAAAAACATGATCACTCACTAATAAGTATTACTGTATACATTTAAAATTTTTCATGCTGGATTAGCTTGTTTTTCCTTGACGGAATCTGATTTCAGAAATATTTCCAGTGTTCCTGCTTTTTTGAGTTTCACAGTACAGCATGCCAAACACAGTACTCAATCTTTCCTAGACTGCAAAGTTTAGTCTTCTGATTCTCATATGTATATAGCATGTAGAGCTAACATCAAGTGACATAAGATGTTCTCCCCCGCTCAAAATAAGCTTCTATAGAGAAGAAATAGCCAAACATGTGCTGTAATTCTGAATTTACTTTGAAAAGGGGGCTCCCTCAAGAAATATTGTACTGATCATCATTATCATCATTGTGGTCACCATCATCCTCATCTTTACCACACTAATCTCATATGCTCATTAATTCACAGCTCTGCAGGTGTTCCTGTTGGTCCCTGATTGGATAATCAAAATCACAAGATCAACAAGAACAGTAAGAACTTAACGTAGTTGGATGAATACCTTGACATCTTTCTTGAGGAAGTCATACAGAACCATTTCATAAATTGCTGAGCTCAGCTTCACTGCTTTGGTAGGAATATAAGGGGCGATAGCCTGATAGAGAAAATAAATAAAATCATGGATAACTCAAACTAATTTTGAACCTCCCAGTAAAAAAATGGAAAAGGAAAGAATATTCACCTCCAGCTGATGTTTTCTGGCAAATTTGTACACTTCATCTTCCCAGAGTTTCTTGTCATCACTCAATACTTTGATGCACAATCTACACAGACAAAATTTCAAGAAGAAAGGTTTCACAATTATCAGCTGGCAACAGGGCTTCATCAAAACAAGGACATGTAATCACAAAAAAAATCTTTGCAAACCTGGCAGCTGTCTCATATTTTCCTTCCTCCATCAAAGATTTCAAAAAAGCTCTTCCAATATCCTTAAATGTATAAAATGAAATACCACATGTAAAAATTTCATTGCACTAAAGGTTAAATGAGACTACTGACAGAAGAAGAGGGTAAAAAAATCTTCACTCTTTTCCTCCTCATATTTCATAGTACTTACTGTCTACCATATAATTCTTATGAATATTTTTCTTTATTCTCATCACATGTCTGCTTGATATTGTATCGACATTGAAAGGAGATTTTCTGTCTTGATCATTCAAGGGAGTAAAAATCTTAGAGTCTACATTAGAGGAAAGAGGCCTAAAAAGGTGAACCTCATCCAAGTATATTGTGTTATAATGTAACTAGGAGTGTTGCCACTCCTAATTGTTGGCAGACTTATTCATTTACAGATTAGCCCTCTCCATTTCATCAGGTTTTCCTATCAATTTTATCTACTACAAAGTCTATCTTACACTGCTTGCCACAAAACACACACCCCACATGAAATCAGTCACAACATGACCCTGCATCTTACACTCCTAGACCAGAGTCTAGCACAATAAACATTGGCTATGAGGAAATCTTTGTCTTACTTGATGATTATGTTTCTTGACTTCTTTACTGTTTGTTTCAGATACACTCAGAGCTTCCTAAAAATAAAGTATTCAGTTAAACTGTTAAACATATTTGTGTTGCTGAACACAGGGAATAAACCTTAAAAAAAGGTTGATCAATATGCTTGGCTGTTAAAATCTCCTTAGTAGTTGCATAAACAATTGACCACACCTACACCTACACATATCAAGAAAATGGAAGCACTAGGGTATTTTGACTTTGTTGTGATTATTACCAAAAATACACAAGACCAGCCTCTGAGCTTTCAGCAGCCAGCGATACATACAGCTGGTAAACAGACAGATCATTTTGACCAAAGACAACTAGGATATTTCTTATATACCTCATACTTTCCATGATCCATGAGCCATTTAATGTGATCATCAATATTTCTGGGCTGAGTAAAAGTAAAAGCAGCTGGTGTTAATATAACAACCATCATTTAACTCTTAGGATCAAAACAACATAATATTATGTACCTTAGCCAGGACAAGATCTTTAGGGCTAACAATGTAAAACAGATTCTCTTCCACAACATTTTCTGTAAAGAAAAAACCAAAATTACAACAATTGCATTAACATTTGATCACAACTGACACTTAGTAGTCAGTGGAGACAAACTTGCACCAAGAGGCAGCATTATACAAATAAATGCTGTCCTCTGTGAAGTGCAATGTGAGTCAAAGGTCTCACCAAGAAAGATTTACACACCAAAAAAAACTATAAAGTTCTTCAAGAAGTAAATTAAGGTATTTCCTTTATGATATTTCACATACACTGCTTTAAATAATGTCACAAAGAATTCTGAGAAGGTGGTTGTCAGGTCAGGCCAACATGGCCTGATGTTGAGCACAACTCCTCCGACCTTTTGTTTATAAGAATGAAAAAGTCAAGAGATGCTTAGGGTCCCAGGGTGGAGATCTGAGACCCAGATCTTCTGATTACCAGTCCAAAGCATTGCCTCTGCACCACAGAAAACTTGCCTTAAGATACAGTAGGTTGTTTAGAATGTTTATGAGTTATTTGCATCAACTTTAATAAAAACATTTTACATCTTATTTTTTAGGATATTTCATTGTTAACTTTGTTTATCTTTTAACATGCAATTCATTCCATAAATAATTTAAATAAATTTCTTAGTTCAGTGCTTTTCTGTGTGGGACCCTTCCTATAGAGAATTGTTAGCCAAACTCATTGTGGTTCTGTATTCACTTCTCTTGCTTACTTGTCACATTTCAATTCCACCCCAAAGGAAAAGGTTGATAGTAAGCAATGGATAAAGGCTGATGTAATGTAGTGATGTTCAGGGAAGAGCAATAACTTCAAGTATTACAAAGTTGTCAATTTTATAAATAATGCTATGCTGTCTATTTTTGGTACACGCATGTTACCTACCACCATAATGGAAAGAAGAAGGACTGTCCAAATCATCATGCAGAAATGCTAATAGGTGTGCAATAAGTCAAGTATCAAGAGTTGACAAGACATGCATCAAAATTATGATTTATACAGTTAATATTATAAATATTATGCAATTCTCTCATTTGCCACGATGTATGGAGTGAATACTGATAATAATAATAATAATAATAATAATAATAATAATAATAATAACAAACTATAGATCTTAAAAGTAAAAAAGGAATATGAAACACCAGCAACAACAGGGCATAAACATCAACAGACTTCCAATGAGGCTAAACACTGATTGGATTGGCTGTATACATTACATCATTACAAAACAATAATTTTCTCAGAAGGCAAACAAAAGGATAACTACTTGTAAAAATAGTAAAGGCAAGGAATTCTGAATTAACAATTGTTAACCAATAATTGGTAAATATTAAAAATAAATGATGCCCAGCTGGAATTTCATTAACAAAAATATTAACTCAGGCTCTATTTCACAATTTAAATTAAGTCTTAAAAAATCTTATTAATATTAATAGTAACTGTGGTTTATTGTCTTTTGAGAAGACCTAGCATCAGTCTAAACAAGTCAGTGATGTTCATGCCAGGAGTCCTTGTTACAGTTAATTTTCACACATAATGATCTAAATGCAATTAATAACTGACCACCTGCATTTAAATTGATGAAATTGTTATCATTGCACACTTTTATCGCTTTTTTGTAGAGGAAATCACATTATTTTGAGTGTAATTTGGAATAAATTAGCACAAGTAAATTTTTTCAGACTAACAAAATTGTGGTCTCTGAAAAAATTTACAAGTTCTTTTTTATTCCAAATTGCACAAGAAAAATCATGTGATTATGTATTAATAATATACATGAAAAAATATGAGATAGCTTATCATAATTATGCAGAAGCAAAGTGCATGCATCAAGTGCAAAAATAACTTATTCAAACCTGTGTGTTCAGTCAAAATAACTGTGTACAATCAAAACAATAATGTACAATGATATTTTCACATCTTTAAGGTGCAAAAAATTTCAAAGTCCAGCTAAACAGTTCAAGGAATTGTTCAGTCTGGTTTGTTACTTCTTTGCACTGAATTAACTCTCTTCTGCATTGAATTACCTGAAAACTGCATTTATCTTAACCACTCAGAACTGAGTAATTTTTTCATGTATCTTATTGAGAAGGTAATACAACACAGTATCAGTCAAAATAAGTTAATATTCAAATGCAATGAAAAGTCAAGATCACCCATTTTCCAATTGTTTTCATCTCTTTAACCCTTCAACTCCCATGAGTGACCAAGACAGAATTTCTCTTTAAAATATCAATATAATAATATCAAGCAGACAAGTGATGAGAATAAAGAAAAATTTCAGTTAGGAGATGATGAGTTGATCCAACACATAATTCTCCAAACTAAGATCACAAGAACTGTATGACAGACAGTAAGGAGAATTACAAATAAGATTGTGGCAGTTAAAGGGTTAAACTTAATGTAAAGAAAAAACAACAACCACAACAACAACAATAAGGAAAAAGTCAGCAGTGACAACCACAAAGTCATACCTAAATGATAATCATCACATCGATAATGTTCAAATCCTCTGACTGACAAAGCATCTGCAGAAAGCTCCTCAGGTTCATTGCAGCCCTGTGGTGTTAAAATCCTTAACTGTGGCCTGTGTGCAACTAACTGTTCACCTTTCTGTTGGTCATGAATAATAATAAAAAAAAATACTTTCAATCATCTGGTTTATTAAATGATTTATCTATATGCATGTTTAGTTCTCATGAGCTAAATGGCTGGTTGCCATTAACTGACCTTTTGGGTGCCTTCCTCAATGTTTGTCATGTATGACAGAATAACCTGAAAAAAATAATTACACCTTTTGAAAACTGCAAGATGGTACTCCCAGCATCAAATAGTTCTTAGAAACACTTCTACCCATCATTATTCCTTGATAGTTGGTACCAATTTGAATCATTCCTATCAATAAGATTGTGACCTACACAATTAGAATAAGTTATAAAACATGCACTGTAAGCTTTCTTTTCATTGGTGATCCACATAACTGATATAATTCTAACCCTATTATAAACCAAGAAAAATGGCCACACTGGGGAATATTGGCTTGAGGTCATGGCAGTACAGACTGAGGGCCACTATTCCTCAGAGCAGCTCAAGTAAGTGAGGTAAGCAAGTAGTTTATTATATGGCACTTTTTTATTTTAAATTTGCCGCCCTCTGGGAACAAAAACACAAGGCTCATTATTTTCATGTAAATGGTCTGTACGGCAAAATCCCGACCAAGTAAGAACCTACAAAAAGGCTTTGATTTGCCTCATGACTACCTTCTCATATAATAATTATCCTCGTTACATGTAAATAAAATTGTTGCACCAGAAATATTTTGGCTTTTAAGTGTGCACATGAAAAATACACTAAAACACTTACCAAGTCATCTTTAAGATATGCAATTCCAGAAATGTAATAGTCAGTTTTGAACCTTGCAACTACAAGAAAAGAATAGATTTGAAATCAGTAAAACAAAGTAACACTACGTATGAACTGATATACTCAATACTTGTAGATGATTCTAAAAAGGCAAAAGTTTTCTTTAAATGAGTGCACTCCAATTCATATTCACCTATTTCCACAACCAAAGGAGGGAGATCTGACCTTGGAACCAGCCTTTCTTTAACCACACAAATCTGTAAAGAGATAGAGATACTACAGAGTCCTCTCTGCCATTCCAATGAGTACTCTCAGTTATTGCTCTACCAAGCTTTTCATTTAAATATGAGCACAGAGTCTCTAAAAGTTGATCACTGTTATGGTACTCAGTACCAATCTAATGAAGGAGGAAACATTTGATACCTGAACCATGTCTGCCCAGCCAATTAAAAGAGTGACATCATCCCTCCAACACAGACAGCAGCGATATAACTCAGGTCTATAACTGGAAAATAATGCACAACGTTAGTTTACAAATCAAACCCTATATGATACAGCTTTGAACCTTAGGCTAGTAACTGTTAGAGAAGGAGGTTTCTTGTGAAGATGTAAACATTCTAAACTTGGATACTATGCTTTCAAGCACTATTAATTACACTTACTTTCTGGTTTCTCTCTTTATATGAGTTATTACTCTGTGAGAATTCATGTCAAACACCTTGACCTCCTGAAAGAAACACAGTCACAGAGAGTTACTCAATGTAAATCAATTCAAGGTGAATCACATAGAAATAAATGACATCAACTGATCTACAAGGCATAGGCAAAAAGTCATACTGTGTCATCAGCCCATGCTATAAGGGATGCTTTCCATTTTATTGTTCTAATGTTTCCTTCTCCTTCATGTAAGATACTTGACTTGTTTCTGAACCAGCCTCTCTCTGTCAAAATCAACTGTAGAGAAAACAGTCATACAAAGTGAAATTAAACAGATTCAACAAATATCGTATCAATCAAAGGTTGTAAAGTTTTGCTGTAAAGGGGGTTACAGATGCTTAAAATTCTAACCAGTGCAGTGAAGCAAAAGGGTTTTGAAACCTTTCCAAGGGGGAAATTCTCATGATCACCTAATATTGGCTAATTTATGATGATATAATTAAATCAGGGTGGCAGATCTAGATGCAACTCATTTAATTTACCTATATCTAATAGGAAAAAGGAAAACAGCACACCTTTGTTCCTCCTGTAACATACATTTTGGTTCTTTTCTTGGAGAACTCAGGATCCAAAGCTACTGACTGAAAAAGACACGGAAATAGTGACATGCAGACTATGAGTTTAACTTCATCGTTACATGCACTAAAATGGCAAAAATATCCCCTTACCTTAACAGGAGTATCAAAGCTGGCCTGGACATTGTTTTCAGAGCTATAAAGGCCATTTATTACAACCTAAAAGCACAAATCAGTTCAGCTACTTCACACACCATTATTTTAAACACAATTCAATATCATGTCTGTATAAGAGAAGTTTATAAAATTGAGGAAAGAACCTCATCTCCCATAATGAAAGCCTGAATATGCAAATCAGAAGATGTGAAAAAATAGACAAGTCAATTTAATTAAGAGTTTAAAATGAGAGAATGTGAGGATTGCTCACAAAGAAATATTTGTACTTAAAGAATAAAATAATCTCATTTTAAATTGGTTTAACAGTACTCACTCGTCCGTCATCAGAACAGCTGGCAACATAGTCTCCACTCTGATCAATGCTGATTTGATTGATAGCTGTAGTGTGCTAAAAGGATATGTTTGAAGAACTGTGAAAATGCTAGCACAACTATTGTTGATTCTTATCAAGAACTACAATGGAGCAATTTTCAGTCAGGTATTGATGGTAATCTGGGATTGCATTCATTTGGGTTTGCTTCATATCATTTGCTGATTGCTCCAGAAAACTCTCATCAGCATCTAACCTGGCCAGATACTTAAACCAATTGTAACTTGTTCATCCACACTTTCCCATGCTTTAGGCAGTTTGCCTGTGTTCACTTTAAATAAAGAGGGTAAGTTTCCAAGGACACTGTGGTACTGCAATAGTAGCAGATGTTAGGAGACAATTTGGTTTAATCAACTAAGTCTTTAATGTAAATTGACCACTCTAAAGAGTTTCTAAAGCTGAATTTGGAGAAACTTTGTCAGCAAATAACACAGAATAATGTATTTCATAACCTTTCCATTAATATATAGTTTATGGTGGTTATGCCTTTAAATAGCACATTTTTTTTTTTGCTAATTACTCCCGGAATGGTTTACCACACCCTAAATTATGGCAATTGATCTCTCCAGACCCTCTGTTCAATAAAACGATGCAATAATCAAAGTGAACAGAGATGGTCTCCAACAGTACTGGGATATGTTTGAAAGTAGATGCTAAAGAAGAAATACTTAGTAGCCAAGTTATTGTGGATGCTGTATTGTTTTGTTTCTACCATAATTATAATATCTTTCTGAAATAGTGTTATTTTGACCATCATTCTTGTACTTACTGATGGATATTTTTTACTACTGCTTGGGTTTCCTTGATGGTCCAGTATATGAACAACTCCATAGTGAGTTCCAAGGGCAAGAAACTACGATAAGTATTTGAACAAAGTCTTATAACTTGCAAACAAAATTTAACAAATAGATTCCAGGTTGCCATGTATTTGTTCAGAATGTGGTAAGAACAGAAAAGCGGCCCACCAGGTAAAGCAGAGTGAGTCTCTGATGTTCTTACAACATTTTGGCATCTTCTATGATCTATTACTCTATCACAGGAACATGGAATCCATTTGATTTGTATGCTAAAGAAGCAAAAAATTGTTAATGGTGAGGTAATCTATATGTCTATCCTATAAAATAGATCATTAGAAAGGACTAATCAAACTGCGCACATAATTCAGCTAATGATATAAAAACTGTTCCACATCGCTTTTGTACACCCTTGGATTGTTACAGTTATGGTGTATGAGCACTGCCCTGCAAAGCAAGTAAACCCTTCGTCCCTCTTCATGTTGAAAAAGAGAAACATCATTGCATACAGCCAAAGTCTTTGAAAGCTTCCATGTTATTAACATGTACTATAGTTTGTGCGCTGAGGTTCGTTATCGTTGATCAGGGGTGAACCTATGCTTTGCACGATAATATGGACCCATATGGCCCACACTGACGATTAACTGGGGGCGGGGAAAGGAAGGGGAGAGTGGTGGAGAGAGAGTAGTTATCGAAATTAAAATAAGAGGAAAGCTAACAGGGCCTGGTTGAGCTCTGCGATCGCACCTTCGTGTGGACTGCCATACAACTTGCACACTCCTCTCCATTCAGAATAGTATTCATGGCATTTCCAATTCTTTCGTATTTTAACTTGGGTTCCACCTCGTCCTCATCTTCTTCAGACCCCTCTTCTTCATCATCATCATCTTCATCTTCTTCGTCGTCATCATCTTCTTCGGCTTCCTGAAATTCATTCCCCGGTCATTCCCAAAACAATGAAGCCTCTAATTTAAGACAATTAACTATTCAAAAACTCCAATAACACACTAATTTAATAATACCGGGTCGTTTATGCCGGATTTCAATCTCAGTTCAAACTCATTTCGCTCTGTTTTGTCCGCCATTTTGTTGAAAACTGTGACAATCAGTATGTCATGTAAAAGTAATATAATATCTTGCGTATTCTCATGTTGATCTCCAATGTCTCTGGGGTAGGCTGAGGCTGTTACTACCGTCTGAGGGAGATTGAAGGTCTGCTATTTCTTTCAGAAATAAAATGATCATAGACATGAAATTTACGTTTTTCTTAAGAAACTCATACGATTTCATTCACATCTGGCTCGTGTTCTTCAAAAAATAAAGCGAATTTGCGCTTTAAAGGAAAGCTTAGCACTGAATACCTGGGGGAGAGGGGTAAGAACCACGTGCGTACTTCAAAATGGCGGCCGTGCAAGACCAAAACAGCGCTCTTCCAGACTTGAAGAATTTAACCTCTTGCAACTTCGGTAAATTGTCACAACAACAAAACAAGGTACTGATAAATTTATTTTTATCAATTTATTTTTGACCTTGGCGATAAAAATTTTTATTCTGCGAATTATTTCACTCTCTAGATACTACAAGATCTTGTCAGCCCGCACATAAGGTCGTTCAACTTCATGCTGGAAGAAGGGCTTTCTCTTGCAGTCCAGGTGCGAAACTCTCTTTCTTGGGCGTTTTTCACGGGTATTTTTTAAATAGATGTACATCTTTAAATCGCAGTATTTTACACTTCTCGTTCTTTTTCTAGGCCATACATCCACAAGAGTTCTTGCTTGCAGATGGACAGAAAGCCACGATATACTTCACTGTAAGTTTTCTCAAGCTTTAAGCTTTTTGTTTCAATGGCCTCATTATCAAGTGATCGATAAATTGGACAACAGGTTGTTCTACTTACTGATGAACGGATTGTATAAGTGCATGCCCGGCTAACTGATGGACTTAAACCCCCTGACTGATACGCTGGCTTACAATAATCAACTCATTCAATGAACGGCTTATTGCGGCTTATAAACCGCGCCAACTGATGAAGTAATTTTTTCCAACTGATTGGCTGACTAAGTGACTGACTTACTGACTTGACCCATCTCAGCAATCCCCTCTGCCAAGGTATCAAATTTGATGTTTCAGGAAGCCTGATGAAAAGAGAGCACTTTTCTCTGATGAATAAATTGTTCCTTTCATTTTTAGCCATGTATTTTTCACTTACAACATGAGAAAGTACTTTTTGCCTGAACTTTTTGCAAGTGTAGGTCAAGATTTAACATTTAAAATTGCTGTGTCCCTGTTGCATGACCATACAACCAGTGTTGCTTTGTGTCAGTGGCAAAAAAGAACTTATGATTTCAGGATGCTTCAATTGGAGTCCCTACAGTGTCAGAAAACAACTTACATGCCTCACAGATGAAGTTGTTCCCTTCTGAGGTAAGCCTCTTGGGAAGAATTACAAATAGATAAATAGATACTTGAAATTTCCCAAATAACCATTCCTATGGTGTCTCTGCATCCACTGTTTCTCAGACAAATGTGAATGAAGAGGGTTGGGTTTGATTTTAGAGAATATAGGCAATAAAACAAAACTAAAATCCAAGAGGAGAACTTGCAACAAACTCAGTCAACACATAAAAACATGCAATGTCAGTAGGGGGAAGGTTTTTAGCTTCTCTTACCACTGAATCACATCAGAGATTGCCTCTATATAAGGCACTGTTCTTTTAGGTTGGAATCAACCACATGTTTTTTATTATTATTCTTAGGTAACTAAGTTTATTTTACATTCATGTCACAGACAGTTTTTCTTGAATTTTTGTCAATGATTTTGTTTGATCTTAGTGTAGAGAGCGTGGGGTTACATACAAAGCAAAACTCCAGGTTACTCTGCAATGGAAAATTAACAACCAGCTGCAAGGAAGTGTTTCAAAGGTCATTGCTAGTATACCAATGATGGTCAAGGTAAGGTGTGATCTTTTCTCCTTTATTGCAGAAACAACTGTTGCTGTGTGTACTCTCCTCTAAATTTACTCTACACCAGTATTTGTTGCCTTTCATTCCTATTATTATAAGTTTCTATCTTCATTGTGATTTTAATGAAAAAGTTGTCTTACTCCAGACTAACAAATATCTGGTTGTAGAATGGGTTAAGTCGGTGGACAATCAAAGTAAAGTTGATAATCAAGTTAAATTCAATGATGGTATTTTTCATTTCATTGTTATTGTGAATTGAGAGAATCTGGTTCTCTCAGAGTTTGCCCTTAAATGACTTTGCTATGATCTGCTGAATGAATTGGGACAGTAGCTTCCCTAGAAAGTTTACTCTCAAAAATGTTATTTCTGAGTCAGTATGATTTTATAATCTTAACATAATCTTCCGGAATGCTGATTTTGTGGTCATTCTTTTCAGTCTAACCACTGCTCCCTGGCAAAGCTTTCACCTCAAGAACTGGTTCAGAAGCATGAGGAGGCAGAGGTAGAATCATGTTAGAACTATACAAGAGGACACATCAGAATATATTTTAACAGTTCTTAGTGTTATGCAGACAATCACAACACAAGTTATTACTTCAATAAGCCGTCAAGAACTCCAAGTAAAAACGCAAACTGCTCAAAGCACTGACAAAGACACTTTATTTGTTGAGTGGAAGGTGGAAGGTTTCTAGACTGATATCAGAGCAAAGAAAAGAACAACTGAAGCAAGCTATAATTGCTTTCTTCATTTAATTGAAAATTGAAGATAACATCAGATCTGATTTCTGTCTGTCTCTCAAGATTTCTGTCCTAGTTTAGCACCACCTTTCCTTAGAAAATGTTAGCCACTGTTCTTCCCTGTTTAAGTAATGTGATGTAGTTTTTGTCAGTATTAGGATTAAGCAGTAATGTTGGACAGAGTCAGAGTTTTGTATTCTATTTCTGCAGGAAGCTGGAGGTTATTTCATAGTCAATGGAATTGAAAAAATTATAAGAATGCTCATCCTTCCTAGAAGAAACTTTGTAAGTTTGCTGTTGATGCCCGTTAACCAACAAAATTTATACATCACCTGGTTTATTCCTTGAGTGTCTGTTAACTACTTGTTGTTTCTTTGAAAACCAATACAACATATCAGAGACAATATTAGTAGACTGCTAATTAAAAATTGAATAAAACCAAATAAAACCTAACTCATAACATTTTCAATGATGTCTGTTTTTTTAGCCGGTAGCTGTTCAAAGACCATCATGGAAGACAAGGGGCACCATGTACACAGAATATGGCATTCAGATGAGATCAGTCAGGAAGGACCAAACAGCTATGGTAAAAAGTTTGCCAATATCTCTTTCCTCATCAATTGAATAACATCACCTCACTTAATAAAGTGTTAAGTATAATATCTCTCAAGAGGAAAATCTGTGAGTTGCAAAAACACAGACAGTGCAGGGCTTCAAGTTCAACTCTTTCAAGATCACCCTTTGGTGACTTAAAATTCCATTATGGCTACCAGAAATAAACTTTTAGCTACCACAAAAAAAGTTTTACAGTTTGCTATGTAACCTTACCATGCAGGTTGCCAAATTGGCAAATTTTTGTACAGATTTTGCAGAAAAATATTCTTTTACATTTACAATCTTATTAATCCCTTTGGATTCGATTTTTTGATGGCAAAAACTGTGAGTACATTTGCGTGGTGTGTCACATATGTAATACTTGTATGTAATTGTTATGGTGGAATTAGTGTGAACTCCCCAGGAAAGATACATTCAAGACAATGTGGTGGCACTAAGTGTTGGTCTTACAAATAAGGAAACCTGCATGTTTCCAAGGAAGATTTCTTTATATACAGGGCCAAGCCCAATTTTTATTGTCTTTTTAAGTTGCCAACATATGCAGTTTCAAAGAGCTAATCATTGTTTTTATGCTGGTATTTTTTAGAATATGATTCTCCACTATCTGTCTGATGGAAGTATTGTGATAGCTATTTCCTATGAAAAAGAATTGTTTTATGTTCCACTGGTTTTCATTCTCAAAGTGAGTGTTTAACTTTTCTGTATGTATCATGTTGGTTATGCATCTGTAGCAAAGGGATTGATTTAGTGAATAGTTTTTTTCCTTTGTCTTTTTTATCCACATGTAAGGCCTTAGTTAAAATAACAGATCAACAAATCTACCGTCATCTGGTGGCAGGAGAAGAAGAGAACAGCTTCCTTAAAGAGTAAGTATCTTTCTTGTGCTGAGATCTATCTGATCAAGCTTGGTGTCAACATCACAAGAAATTAGCCTTGCAAGTTCTTCTTTAATGAGTTAAATTCTAAACTTGTAGAGTCTCTTTATAATTCTACACCAGAAGTTATCTAAATTTGTGTTTATCTCTAAGAAAGAAATGTTTGTTCTCCCTCACGTTTTCTTTACTCTCTTTAAAGCTGTGTAGCCACAATGCTCAGATCTGCCCAATTACAGGGAGCTACTACTCAACAGGCTGTGCTCAAATTTATTGGTAAGAAACAACCCCATGAAATCCTTAGTAAGTTTCCACATTGTGTATCATGAAACTTGGAAATCTAATAATGATCTCTATGACAATCAATGATGAAAGTGCTCATAAAGATATTTTAGATTGTATTAAAAATGATCAATAAAGATAAAATTATAATTCCCTCCTTGCCAGCTCTGATAGAGAACTCCCAGTTCTGCAGCACTCACATCTGAGCATGGTTCGGATTTCATTTCACTTTTCAAAAATACAGTTTTAGATGCAACTTATTGATGATTTGTAAAATGAAGAAGTATTAAAAATTTTCACTCCATAGGCAAGAGGGTAAGCATCCTGGTTATTTTTATATCGTAGACTTACCCCTCCCTTAGTTTGCACCTACACTCACACACACTCACACACACACACAGAAAAAAAAACAACAACAACAACAACAACAAAGATACTGCAGATTTTTTCAAAGGAGAATCTTAATTGGGAGACTGAAGTTCTTTTGAAAAAGCTACTCTACACCCTAGCACATTTATTTTTTTGTTTGTCTGATTTACATTTGTGCAAATAGGTGAAAGATTCAGAGTCAAGATGAGGTTACCAGACTGGTACTCTGATGAAGCTGTAGCTCAATTTGTTCTCCAGTAAGTGGTCTTTGTGGTGTTAGTGCCTTGTGTAGAGTTTGTATGGATATAACAGAGACTAAAAAGTTGTAGAAAACATCATAATATTTGAACAAAAGGTGACAGGAAGTCATTGCTTGTTAATAACTTGAACCATGTCGTTGTTCTTATCATTATTATGTTGTTACCAGCTGAGGTTAACAGCGTGTCAGCTTAGAAATAAAGTTTCTATTTGATGCGTTGCAAGTGATGCAGTAGCCAGTGATTAGTGACATTATTGCATGTATAATTATTAAGCTCAATGGATTTTTAGCATTATGTCCTGTTTGGAGAGTTATCCTACCAATGTTAGTTACAAGGGTTTGGTGTTCTTTTTGTTGTTCATCTACAGTAATGGCAAGTGTCCATGAGCAAGGGCCTTTGAGGATAAACTCAGAAATAATGATCAGCATTTGAGAAAGCTGATGCACCTTGTAAATACAATTTTGGATGGGTTATGTAACAAATCTGTTGTGTGCACTTAATTTAGGCAATTTCATTTTACTCCTCAGAAACTGTGTTTGTGTTCACCTGAATGCAGATGTAGATAAGTTTAATTTAATGATGTAAGTATGAAGGATTTCTGTTTAAAAGAAAGTTGTTTCCCAGATTTTCAAGTTGTGCTGAATTGTGAACTTGCAATGTGACACAATTTCTTCTTTTTGATTCCCATAACTCTTTGTTTTACAGTTTCATGGCAAGGAAGCTGTATGCATTTGCTCTAGAAAAGTGTGCAACAGAAAGTGCAGATAATCCAATGATGCAAGAAGTACTTCTTGGTGGACATTTGTATCTTATGACCTTAAAGGTAACATACTGGATGAGAACTTTTTTGCAGTTTGGAAAAAGTCTGCAATGAAAGCAGTTTGTTATCTACCAGGTGATATAATATATCAAATGAGATCTGAATCATCAGTTACTCCAGTACCTTCTGCCTTAAGTATAAATTGCTGCTGCAGTCTTCAAAGGTGAAGTATACTTCAAAAATTCTAGCAAGAAGATTCCTTGGTACAGAATTCAATGTTAGTAACTGTTTTAGTTAGATTGCAGGGACTACTAAGTAAACTTGCAATTTTTTTTGAATGGATGTGGTTCTCTTCATGCTTTGTTGTTCTGCATCAATATTTGATTGCACAGTGTTCAGCTTACTGATCACCTTTCCTTAATTATTTAATTCCAGGATCTGGAAAAGGGACTCATTTATTTAATTAGTGACCACTAATTTTAGAAAAGCATTCTGCTGTTCCATGTTGTATACAGCCTACCCTTAAGTGATGTTCATGTTTATGGTGCACACTGCTTATTAACCCTATGACTTTGAAGAGTTTCTAGCATCTAATTTCTCCATACAATTTCACCCACAAATTACATATTAAGTTCATGAGAATAAAAGAAATTATCACAACTAATGAAGCTCTTGATTGTCAAACAAATTCTTTTTGTCAGCACCTTAGGAAATGTATAGAGAACAGTATGGAGAATATGCATACTGATGTTAGAGTGTAATGGGTCAATAGCTGTTTCATGTACAAGACAGTGTAACATTCAATGACAATAAAGATAGAATTGTAACATGTCTGTATCTGCAGGAAAAGCTGGAGGTCTGGCTGTATAGTGTGCGGGCCAATATTGAAAAGGATATGACAAAGAAACAAAGTTATAGTTTAAATACAGGTGAGAAGTGAATATGGCAATACTCCATTAATTCCACAGCTCAAAATTTATGAAGTGTGTTAAAAAAAAGCCTTGAAAAAAAGTAATGATTAGGCACTAAAGATGTGAAGAAATTGTTAGATTAGTTATTTGTTGTTGTTTTTTTAATAAGATTAACTATTGTAGAAAAGGATACTTCCTGACCTCAGATATGAAAAGTGTAGAGTTGGTCATAGTTTTACTGTTTTTGTTTTGTTATCTTCACTTTTGCTCTACATTTTGGTTTCTGGCAGTGGACCGGGTGAAGTTCTGTAGCATATATTTCTATAAGACTCATCTTGCACACTGTCTTTCATATTTTTATGCAGCTAGTTTACTACAGGCAATGTCACGTAGCACTAACATCTCACACCAAATGGAATATCTCCTTGCTACTGGTAATCTAGTGTCAAGATCAGGCCTTGGTCTTATGCAGGTTTGCTGTTTACCTCTTGTTTTTCCAATATACTTTACTTTATTTAGTTTTTACTCTCTTCTTGTTTTTATGTCAGTCAAGCAACCCCCGACTTCAGCCTCTTTCCCTCATTTCCTTTTCTATGGTTTTCTTCCAAGTTTTCTTAGGACAGCCTCTCTTTGATAGGGAGTTCATCATAGAGTACTTCTGTACAGGGCTGATGGTGTTCTTTTGGAGCACATGGCTGTTTTTAAAACAAAGATTGCCTTATTCAGTCTTTACCCTCTCTCTTCAGGACCTCCTTCTCTTGTTCCTTGTGCCTTATGAACATCCCGGCAAATTAAAGTTTGGTTTATTTAATCCTGCAACAGCATACAATTCACATTTTCATATGATTGATTCATTAAAAGATTCATGCACAGAGACTTCATCATCATGTTTGACTGTCATTAAGGAGAGAATTGTTTTTAAGTTTTTCAAAGACTCCCAAAAGACTAAAGATCACCATAAAACATTCCAAAGTTGATCTGCAGAATTGTGATGGTTTCCATGAGTCAATGTACCTTAATTTGTGTCAATAAGTCTAAGGAGCAAAGTGGCTTATTTATGGCAATGTCTCCTGACCTTAATTTGTGCAACAACATTTATTATAAAAACCTTGTATTATACTTGTTTTAGTTGTCTATAAATTAAAAAATTTAATGTCTTTTTGATTGATTTTGTATACTTTTGCATTCTTTGGTGTCCAGTATAGCTCTACATGAAAATGCTGGAAATCAAGCATAAAAGTAATCCTCAATGGACAATTGCTGTATACTGAAGTGGATTAGGATGTATAATGGAATCAAATTATTGTTTTTATTCTCCAGACCACAGGATTTTCCGTGGTGGCTGACCGACTCAATTTCTACAGGTTTCTGTCCCACTTCCGGTGTGTTCACAGAGGAACTTTTTTTTCTCAGATGAGAACAACATCTGTGAGGAAGTTATTACCAGAAGCTTGGGGTATGCTCTTCTCAATTAAAAATCTCTCATCTGTGTCACTTTCCAGTTTGTGGTAAGTGTTTTTTTTTGTTTCATGTTGAAGGGTTTCTATGCCCAGTACACACTCCTGATGGGGCACCATGTGGTCTTTTGAACCATTTGTCGGCATCATGTCAGGTAAACTTTGTGATTACCTAAATTATTCAAATTTAGTTAAAACAAGATGTGTTTGCTTTCCTCTTTTTTTTTCTTAGTACAATTTTCAGGACTTTTAATGCATTGTATATCTTAAAATTAGTGGTTAACCGTTTAACTCCCAGAGGTGATTTAGACAGAATTTCTCCTAACAATATCAATACAATATCAAGCAGATAGGTAGTGAGAGAAAAGAAGAATATCACGTACAGGGGATTATCAGCTGTATCACCAAATTCTCCAACTGACATGATTAGAATTTTATGGCAGACAATAGGGAGAATTACCAAGGAGATCTTTGGAGTGAAAGTTTTAAAGACCAGCCCACATTTTTGGAAGGGGGAGGCCTATAGACTTATGAATAAGGATAATTGTCTTTGTTAGGATTCTTAAGCAGCAAATATTTGACATCAAAACTATGATATAGTTCAGTTGAAGTGTGTTGCTAGTTTTAAAACAGGTACCCTACGTCTCACAGGTTGTGAATGATGTGCTACAGACTTCCCACCTTCTCAGGCTGTTATGTTCATTAGGCATGAGTCTGATTGATGCCCCTGCACCTGCTGATGTGAAGTCTTGTTATGTGGTTATCCTAGATGGCAGAGTGATTGGTAGAGTTGATATGGACCTTGCACCATCACTTGCCAACAGACTGCGCATGTTAAAAGTACTTGGACTGGAGGAGGTACATAGGCAAAATAAAGGCTGATAAGCTTTTTTTTCTTTTCTTACTCTGAAAAACAATGTAGTGGTAGCTTGTATTGGCATGGAGGAAAGTTTGCAACAAGTTCCCATGTTTCATTAGTAACCCTGTGAACCTGTTGAACCCTGGAGACAGAAAATGCAACAAGCAAGTATTATTTGAACACAGATATCAACTCCAATCATGAAGCAAGGGTGACTAACAAGAAGTTTCCGCAAAATGTGGAAAACCACACCAGATTTTAACTGATGCCTAGCATGTGCCATCAGCAGTATATTTTGCAGGGTGTCACCATCTGCCATATCTATCCTGTTGAGTAAAGATTTTGAGTGCAATGTTTCCTTCCTGTTAGATTCCTCAGATGCTGGAGATATGTCTTGTGCCCATTACAAAAGTAGCGAGCCAATACCCAGGCTTATATATTTTCTCCACCCCAGCTCGAATGATGAGGCCTGTATTTAACCTGGCTGCAAACAAAGTGGAAATGATTGGAACTTTTGAGCAGGTTTGTTTCCTGTCTAATGTTAACCCTTTAACTCCCAAGATCTGATTGTTAATTCTCCCCTCTAGCTGCCACACATCTCGCTGTAAACTACTTAACTAGAATTTGGTGTTAGATCACGATAAAAACTTTTACTTGATAAGTTTGAGTTTTCTTATTACCTGTTTGCTGGGCAATTAATGGATATTATTGGGAGAAGTTACAAATCAATCAATTCTGGTAGTTAAAGGTTTAACCTAACCCAGTAATAATTTCAAAGAGCAAATCATATGTTACAGGATATTTTTTTCTTTTATTTTTCCTGTTATATTTGTCTCATTCATTTTAATGGAAGCTAGGAGAAAGCTGTGAATGTTTTGGTAGAGCCATAGCTAACAATGAGTTGTACACTTCAGGTATATATGGATATTGCAGTTGTTAAAGAAGAAGCATATGAGGCGGTATGTAAATTTCAGTTGGTCATTATACTTAACCTAATGTTTGTTGTATCAAAGAGTTATATAATTATTGCTTGAAATTTTGATGAAATAGCTGATGAAAATTAACCTACTGATCTAGCAATTGTTGATAGGAGGGGTCAAACTTTGATGGAGGAAAAAACAGAAGGTTTTTTTATCGCATCAAATTAGTTTTCGTTCTTGTTCCAGACTCTCCTTCCCCCCCCCCCCCCTTCTTGTGACCCTTCCTCTTGATGTGCCACTAACAGAGGGTATATAGCTTGTCTTGTCAGAGGGTCTGGGGTTGAATTCTTCTTGGAGTCTCAAATTTTTCTTTGTCTCTCCTGTATGACAAGTGAAATTTTGAATCTCTCTTTGTAGCTTGCTTTCAAATTTTTTGTTTTTTTTTAAATTATTGTTTTCCTTTTTAAATATCACTGCATCTGCTGTACAAATTTCTCTAAATGAATCTCTTGAAACATGTTACTTTTTTCAATGCCCAGAAAACCACACATCTCGAACTGAAACCAGCCAGTATGTTAAGTGCTGTTGCAAGTTTAACACCATTTTCAGATCACAACCAAAGTCCCCGTAACATGTACCAATGTCAGGTAAGTGAAACAGAAATAGTTTGATGGACTTTTGGCCGATGATCTGCACCCTGGCCAGGCCAAAAAAGACATGAAGTCTCATTCTAGCTTGCCCATCTGTTAGTTTTGTGTGCACTTTAGACACAGGCAGCCTTAACTGGCTTAATGAGCCTACTTAGATATGCAAATATGTTTATGTTGTGCAATTGGAGAAATATAACAATTTTTATGGGGTTAAATGGTCGCATTTGTAACCTTAAAATTAGCTTTTAATTAAAACAAAGTTACCTCACTTTTGTTCATTCCTTTACATTGTGTGAGTGTTCTGGGCTAATTCATCTCCTTTGCTCTGTAGGAAAGGATATATCTTAGACAAAGCAAATGAGTTTAAGGCCATAAGGAGATGCTATCAACACATATAGAATTCCTACATAGTTCATTTATCTTTCGTCCTTTTTTTCTTGTTTCCAAGATGGGGAAGCAAACAATGGGAACACCAGCACAAGCATTGAAATATCGCAGTGATAACAAACTATACAGAATACAGGTATTGAAAGGGCTTGGTTTCTTCAGAGCTAATTAGACAGGCTGTGACTCAGTTAGGTTTTTATCAGGGCATTGTGACTTTGTGTCTAATTAGTATTCATTTCCTCCGAGATGGTTGGTCTGGAAAAATTGCTTCACCTTCCAAACTTATCAATTGTGTTAACAATTAACCACATGGAAGTTCATCACTTGGGTTTTCCTGTGCAGGTAGTTTGGTTAGTAGTTAAAACTTTGGCCAATTTACAGCTAACAGTTAATAATCATTCCACTTTGGTCACCAGAAAGTTTTTTTACAGTTAACCTCTTTTACGGCTAACCGTTAAAATTTTTCAATTTTACACTTAATGGCTAAATGTTTTGGCCGTTTTACAGGTAACAGTTAACCCTGTTAAGACCCTCTTAGATGAAAAGTGCCTTAAGCAAACTCTTTGTAAAAATAGCTCAGCTAAACTCAAAGAATATTGTGTTTATTCCTTTACATCAGACTCCACAGAGTCCTTTGGTACGACCAGTTGCTCATGATGAGTTATCTGTTGACAACTATGCACTAGGAACAAATGCTGTGGTAGCTGTTATCTCCTACACGGTTTGTGCAATTAGGTCATAACGTTTTAGAATAAAACAGGTACAAATTGTCTATATACCCTCCCGTAATTGCAGCATTGTCCAGAGAACAAAGAGCATTTGATTATTCAGACATCAACTGTTTATCCTTAAATCTTTTCCCACTTAATCCTTTAATTAGTATTTATATTCTCTACAATGATCTCTCTACATTTCCTGTGTTAATGACAAGGAGAATCTGTTTGACAATCAGGAGCTTCATAAATAGGTGATCACATCCTTTAAGGAGAAATCAGAAGCCAGTCACTCCTAGGGTTAAGAGTTAATTATGTTTTGTTTCAAGGGTTATGACATGGAGGATGCCATGATACTCAATAAATCATCTTATGAGCGTGGATTTGCCCATGGCTCTGTTATCAAATGTGAGGTTTGTACCAAGTACGAGTTTTATCAATCTTTCATATTTTTACATATTTACAGAGGCTTGTGAATTCATATTGACTATCTATTCATGTTTTAACAGATCATCGATCTTAAGAAAGTTCCAGGAAATGAGTTCCAAGTTTCAAGCGTCAGATTTGGTGAGAATTTTCCTCACATAATTGTTAAAATAAACTCTCCAAACAACCCAATTTGTCAAATGTCATGTCTCTGTTGTCTTTTTGTTGATGTTTTGCTGTTTTGTATTTTTTTTTTTTTTTTTACCCAAAGCCATTCTAAACACACTGTGATTGGTTGGGTTTTCAAAAGCCATCACTTACTTTTCTTTTTCCAGTTAAACTTAGAGACTAAGAGGCCTCTGAGTGTTTGCCTTCACCAATGGAAAGCAAGACATAGCTTTGTACATCTGTGGCCACATGTCATATCTTTTTTCACTCTTTTTGCACTCTCATTTTTTACAAACGATTTGTTTTTTCCAAGGCTGCCTTCCTGATGATGAACGAGTTCAAGGATTTCTCGACAGTGATGGTCTTCCACCAATTGGAGCAAAGCTGGAGACAGGAGACCCATATTATTGGTAAGAAACTTGTATTACTGGTAAGAAATCTGTATAATCAGTGAGAAAACTTTGATCATAGTGGTGCGAAACCTCCATTAGTTGTTAAAAAACATGATGCATTCCAGGTATCAGTCCTGTATTAATGGCACGAGACTTAGTGAACATCTTTAATGTAAGACTTGAGTCTCCATTGTTTCTTTAAATCTTCATAGTAGCCGTGTGCTTTTAAAGTCATTGCTGTGAAGTTTGCATGGTTCATTCCCTGCTTCTGTAATTGGCAACAAATCTTTACAAATTAGAGCAATCATAGTTTTTTTTGATTAATGAAGACTTTAATTGGCACAAAATCCCATTTTATACTTCGACTACGTGTGAACCAAACCAAGAATCTCCCAACGCTGAACGCGTGTTGTTATTGATGTTGTATCCCGTAACCTTTTTTTCAAATTTCATACCTTGCTGTGTGATGACTTGTAAGTGATGACATCATATTATGCGTGTCATCTGATTGCCTTGGGGTAAAACATCACTTGATCTCAACCCTTGTTTTATTGGTTGTTACTCATGTGACGTCATTGCTCTCTGTCAATTTGATAAAATTGCAAGTCTGATACTGGTCATACGTAAGCTTCATTCCCAACATAATATCGGTTATATTTTCTTTACATATAACGTATTGACATAGGTATGTAAATTGTACCTTTCGAGTTAAAACGGCTTTTAATTAAAAAAAATGAAACTGAAGGATAGATTTAGTTTAAATGCAGCCCTTGTTAGTGGCTGTATTTTCCAATCCACTGACTTTTTTTTTTGTTACAGTTTCATTGACGACAACATTGGACAAGCAGTCATCCAGAAATACAACAGCTTAGAAAGCGCGATTGTTGAAGATGTATGCACAGTTGTAAACTTCCCTGCTGTTTTTGATTTCCTGCTATGTGCAAATGGCAATTGAGCTGGTTGATTGTAACAGTTTTGTTCGTTTTTCTCTGTATATAGGTAAAAGTTCTTGGAAATGATGAAGGGACAGGTTTGCTCCAAAAAGCTTCAATTAAATTGAGAATACAGGTATGAGCTGTACTCCTGAATAACATTTATTTATGTTGGGGGAGCAGAGATAAGACAGAGGTGAGAGCACTCTCCTCCCACAGCTGTGGCCTGGGTTCGATTCCCAGAACTGGTGTCACATGTGAGTCGGGATATGTTTCACATTCTCAAGGGTTTCGTCCAATGCTGTAGTCGTGAGGGATAAAGTTATGAGTGGAAAAAAATGAAATTACCTCTTTGACAGTGGTTTTTGCTACATGAAGAAGTTAAGGTTGAATCTCCTTGTGCAGCATAATCAAGAGAACCACATGGAAGTGCTCGTTAGTAGCCTCATTTGACCGCACACTCGACTTCTTTGCTAAATCACCTTATGCGATCTTATTTAAGTGTGATGGTCGACATGAACTTCTATTTTTAGAGAAATCCAATCATTGGAGACAAGTTCTCAAGTCGTCATGGACAGAAAGGGATCTGTAGGTAGGTACTTAGGTTATAAGAACTAATTGATTTAGTTGTTTGCGGCTCAGGCGTTATAACAAAAGCCGGTTACTGACGTTGTTGTTGTTGGCAACCGTCTGTCTCGGAAGACAGTGGAAAATCTGCACCTAAAAAGTAAAATAACGTCAAGCTACACCGCCGGCTGTGGCTGTGAAGCCCAATACGGGAGCCGCAGACCCGCTGGCATTTTGCGCAGATAAAGTCATTTGTGGGGGTTGGTGGAATGGGGGCAGACTGGAGCCTCTGTCGCCTGCGAGTCCTCTTCACCTCCCACTGGCTCTCCCTCTTCAACTCGGCTTGTTTGACGCCGGCCTTGACAGTCGATCGCCAGAGTGTACGGTCGGCTGTTGCTGACTCAAGGTTTCCAGGGCTGATGTTGCAGGTCTTCAAGTCACGCTTGGACAGCTCACGGTCGATGATGGCGGTTTTCCTGGCATCATGGATTTGCTGGAGGTCGTCAGAGAGGCCAGGACACATTGTTCTGACGTTCCAAGTAGCAAGCTGTAAGGCTGGTGATTTCTTGTTTCTTTGTTGTTTGCCTGGTGCGGGGGCTTTACAACCTTCCTGTCGGTTTTGCCTAACCTCCAAGCACCCAATGGAGCAAGCAGGTTGTGGCGGGGTAGCAACTCAATTGTCCGGGGGCTGCCCGGCTTGAGGCGGGCTACCCAATGGGGCTCGAAGACCCCTCCCACCGTCGAGAGCAACCCCTGGCGCCCGGCTCTACGCCAAACGAGCCTGGACTTATAACCGGTAGACTGCTGCTCTCCGTGTTGTGCCTACGCTGGTCAGCGAAGCTGGAGTGACCTCTCCAGGTGCAGGCCTGGGCGGAAGATATGGAAATCCTGGTGTGCCCAGTCGCCAGGATCCCCCTCTCGGCGTTGCTGGTAGGGTCCGACGGAAAGGACGAGCCGATACGGTCGGTGCCAGCGCAGCTGCAGGAGTTGCCGGAAGGTTTCACGTTGTTCCACCAGCCGCCTACGGGGCTCTACTCCGGATTTTCTGTCAGGGTTTACTCCCATAGCCTTCACTTCTCCCAGAGCAACCACAAGGCAGTGGTGGTTCTGCGGCAGGTAGTACTGGGTTACAGGGTACCAGGCAAAAGATGTACCTGACCTGACTTGACTGACGTTGTACCACCGCCTAAAACGATAACACCTCCTACCGCTGTCCATGGAGCCTGTAAATAGGTTCTTTTTTTTTTGGTTTCACGTTATGACCCCTCTTCTTGGAGCAGCCACCAAACGTTAATGAAGCCCCTTGGGCAGCTTTAGATGCTGTATTAGCCACACAAGGCTTGTCCCTTCTATCAATAATGTCCTTCAAAATTTGTGTTTGGTCGTAAATATCAACCTGTATTGCGAAGGTGCGGCCAAACTGCATACCATCTTCTTCGTGAATTTGCCTCGTTTTGTCCTGAGAAAGGTTTCCTGTATTTGTTGAAGAAAAAATAAAAATAACTTAAAGCGCGATAACCGAGAAACCGTTGAAATGATTCATTTCTTTTTTTCTCTTTTAGCCAAAAGTGGCCTGTTGAGAACATGCCTTTCACAGAGTCTGGAATGACGCCAGATATTATATTCAATCCTCACGGCTTCCCTTCACGTATGACAATTGGTATGTAGACTTTCTCACTTCACTTTACAGACCCTCTTTTTTAGTTCAGGTAGTTATAAACTTTGCCAATCATCCTTGGTGGTTAGCAGTTATAACAACAAATAGGTTTGTCCGCAAAGAAATACTATCACGATTATCACGATTAAGTGATAAAGCAATTTTCAATTGAGAGTTGAAAGTTATCCGGGATTGTATTAGTTTTGCTTTACGTTGCTGTGTGATTGGTCCAGAAAAGTCACACCACCCTCTCAACCAATCAAATGCAAAACAAACACCAATCGAAAATTGGTCACCCGTTTTTCCCGCGCTTCAGGCAGTTTAACTGTTTTCATGTTGAGTTTTCATTGGCTCTCAAAGGTGTTTTCCTCTCTTCTGATTGGCTGTTGTAATTACTTTGGTGTTGGTTTTACGAAATTCGAATGAAACGTGCTCTTATCGTTGAAACATGCTTTGACTCTTTTTGTTAGGTATGATGATTGAGAGTATGGCGGGAAAATCAGCCAGCCTCGATGGATTGGCCTACGATGCTACACCATTCACTTTCTCAGAAGATAATCCCGCCATCACATACTTCGGAAGTCTCTTAAAAAAATGTTTGTAAACTCTTGTTTGCTTTTATGATATATTTTTTTTTTTTTTCAAGGTATTAAATTTTTGAAAAAACACCAGCTTGTTAAGTGAATTTATTATGGTTCCATGTACATAATGACAGAAAAATGATGACCAATCTTCAAGTTTTCATTGTACTATCGTTCAATTCTTGATTTATCTTCCAGCTGGTTACAATTACTATGGTACGGAGCGGATGTACAGTGGCGTCGATGGTAGAGAATTTGAAGCAGATATCTTTTTTGGAGTTGTTTACTATCAGCGTCTCAGGCACATGGTAGCTGACAAGTATCAGGTAATTTATTCCCCTCCCACCCACCCATCCGTCTTATACTTGATTCTTGTCTCACTTTGTATCAAAACGTTTCCAACCAGTGTATGATGACAAACTATTATGCGTGTCATCTGATTGGCTCTAACAGCGGTGTGACGTGATTTTAGCCAGTGTTTTATTGGTTAAGATCCACAAATACGGCTAGTTAGCGGTCAACTTGATAAAAAATAAAGTCTGACACTGGCGTACCATCTCAGTCAGTAAGCAATTTATCATTGGACCGTTGCTCTTTCTTCCTTACGCCTCGCAGTTCACAGGGTCTTTCGAGTTCTTAGGGCCTTATTCGCACCTTTATTTTAGGCTTTTGGATAAGAATTTCACCGTCTAAAAGCATCAATAATAGATAGATTTAGCCAAGCCTAAAAGCGGAGCTCGCATTTTTTTCCCGCACGTCTCAAGGGCACAACGTCTTGCCCCGGCCAGGACTAGAACCTGGGTCGTCCGACTCGGAGCCCAGTGCCCTGACCACTGGACTACTGAACAAAGCCGTGGCGATGGCGTGCCCGCGGTACAGTTGACCACGCATGTTAAAAGTAGCACCTTGTACGGTCGTTTCGGCTTGATGGGTTACTACTATTTTGTATATGGAGCTACGCTCTGCGAGCTCCGCTATCATGTGACGTCATTATTTTTATATGGCTATTCAATTCTTTTCTCTTTATACAGGTCCGGACAACAGGTCCTATTGACATACTCACGCACCAGCCTATTCAGGTAACAGCATATTTTGCTAACAGGGCTCTTGACAATGTACTTACCAGTATGTGATGACATCACTTATGCGTGTCATCTGATTGGCTGTGGACAATGTGTTACATGGTCTCAGCTGGTGTTTTATTGGTTGTTACTGTGGGACACTGTGTTCCTAGGCCAAAGTGATAACGCTTATACTCTGATGCTGGTGCAGATGTGAGTGGAAAGAGTGTATTATCTACTAATCTCAAAACCGTCTCAGAGAGCTTAAACGTAGAGAGGAAAATCTTACTTGAGGGGGGAGGGGTGGGTGTCTTGTCAGAGCCAAAATTGCAAGAAATGTGTGAGAGAATGGTGAAGTTTCAAACACATTGCAAATGACAAACTAAAAGTATTCAGGCTGAATGGTTTCAATAAACACAAACTGTTACGTGGCTTTTCCAGGAAACACAATAAGAGTTAGACGAGGAAAAAGGTCGCTTAACCAGCGTAATTGTTTGCTTCACAAACTTTATATTCAATCGTATCAGAAATACCCTCCTACTCTTACTTGAAATTCTGAGTATAAGATCACGGACCTTTACTGTCGTTCAGCCGTGTTTTCGTTCCATCACTTTAAGTTCGAATTCTCGTCTCTTGCTGACAAGCTTGGCGAAGTTTATCCTTGTAAACTTCTACCAACGCTGCGTTCTTTTCCGAGTTAAGTTCGTGTGCTCTCCCTCAATGGATGGTCATATTGTATTATCAAACATTGGGCTAAATATTATTTGTCTAACAGTAGGTATGTTTCCATCTTGTAGGGTCGCAAAAGACAGGGAGGTATTCGGTTTGGAGAAATGGAAAGAGACGCATTGCTTGCACACGGTGCTTCCTACCTATTACAAGATCGCCTCATGAACTGCTCAGACAGGACAGTGGTGAGAATTGCAGTCGGATCAGTTTTCCTTGATAGTGTAGATAAAAACATTTGATCAATGTTTCCCTGTAAATTCTTCCTGTTTGAATCTGACAGGTGTTTGTCACGGTTTCCTTGCTAGGAATTTGCTAGTGTAGATCTTTTGACAAGGATTATTATTGGTCGTGGAAATTGTTCAGGGTGAAACTGACGTTGGTTAGTGATTCGTTGCCTTTGGAATGTGAAATGGAATAAAAAATCCATAGAATTTAAGGGTTTAGGCAATGAACAAAAACTGTTTTCAAAGCTAAAGCCTCATTCAATGATCATCAACTCTGTTCAAATTTAACTTTATATTGCTGTTTACAAAGTATCGACTTTCATTCCTGTAAGTAATTGAGGTGTCTCCGTATTAGTCAGCAGTTCCCTGTAAAATCTCGCCTTTTAACGCCAGTCAGTTAATCTGTTTGTTCTGTTTCTCCCTTCCTTCTTTCTAGGGTCATGTATGTACAAAATGTGGTAGCATACTCTCTCCTCTCCTGGAAAAACCCGCGGATGAGCTGGCAGCTGCGGCTGCGCACAGGAAGAGGAAGTGGATTTGTAAAGTTTGTGAGAGCAGCGAGCATATTCAGTTGTTAGCCTTTCCTTATGTCTTCCGATATCTTGTTGCTGAGTTAGCGGGAATGAACATCAAGACGTGTTTACAAGTAAAGAAAGTTGGAACGTAAAAGCTTGCAGTGAAAACAGATAGCGACATTTACAAGACCCACACCGTAGACCGTTGGGGTTGTTGGCTACCACTTAAATAGAATCTATTACCGAGCCTGTGGGTCTCAACTTGGCGTTTGCAAGTGGGAATTTTCACATCTTTCACAGTGCTTGCCTAATGATTGACTAGAGAAGAAGAGGAGAGAATTGTAAGGACTACCAAACGGCAGATTAACAACGTTTGCCAGATTGCTCGAAAATATTCAGCAGAAGATAGAAAGTATCTCCCATTTAAAGAAAGGCGAAGATTTTTCACACAATGAAACGCACACAACAAAATCTATTCGTTTCCCGTTCGAGTACGACTTAGCTAGGTTCTTAATCCCCTGGGTGAACGAGATGGGTAGCCGTTTGACAGCAGTGTACACCTGTAGCAAACACTTTGCTATGGTCTTTGCGTGGAGTAACATTGACTACAATTTTCCTCAAAGGAAATGAAGATATATTGGGATTGCAAGGCACACATAATGAAGTAAGGACCTGAGTACAGTGCTATGAAGACTTCGGCACCGGAAGTAAAATCTTAGAGGGACTTGAGCTGTGAAGGAAACATTTATCAATGTACAACAATCAGGGCTCATTTCTTATCTTGTTCCAACAAAAATTATCAATTCCAACAATACAGTATAAAAAGGATCTTTATTACTCTACATATAATAAGGAAAAGCACAATGAACATTCACGTTTGTGTTCTTTTTACAGTCAGTAATGTAACAATTTGTTAAAGGGGCTATGTTTAAGGACTAAGAGCACAAAACCCACATTAATCTTTCTCAGAATTTATCATGTGTTATTTAAATGGTCGTGGGTGCCTTAATACATTATTAAGAAATAGAAACATGCAGCAGTTTTATCTTTATGTCAGTATATTGTTAAACAGATTGCATAGCTGTAACTCAAACATTTTTCTACCAAGAAACAATGATGAACAATGCTGTGATTATGCAAGTTTCTCTAGAGATGGAGATGAAAACTTTTAGTTCTTGGTCAATTTGGAGACAAACCAAGATCTGTCGACAAAAATACTTCTATCAGTGAGGCATCCTTTTGATATCCAAATAATGCAAAGAGAAAAATTCCAACCGTAACTAACCCATTCAGATAAATAATTGGACACCAGACTTCTGGAGTGTAAAATAACTTTGTAGTATATGTAAAATTGACTACAACAAATATTTTCAAGTGCACAAACTAAGAATAGTTTTAGAACAAGTGTTCCCAAAATAACCAGGCTATGGAGCCTAGAGATGTGGTTGAGAATAAAAATGATGCACAAAGAAAATTCCTGTTTTGACTAGTTCTTTGAATTGTTAGATTTCAAGGACAAGTGAACTACTTTGTGTCACCACAGTATCATTTCATTGTCAATCTGAAGAAAAGAAGCTGCAATTTTATTGCAAAAACAAAATTAAAAATTAAAAAAAAAACGAGAAGTCAAAATGCAGAATTCAAAAAGTTAAAGGCACAAATTTTCAGGTCCAAAGAGGTAACGGTTATGAAGTAGAGTATATATAATGAAATAAACAGCCTTAGTAGTTATCAGAACCAAAATTAATCCCTGTTTTTAAAATAACTGACCCAAATATGTTACCTTCCAATTTGAGTTAATCATCCAGTGATGCAGCCTTACTGTTGCAAATCTCTATGAGCCATTTTCACAGATAAGGTGTTTGTAATGTCATCAAGACCATCTACATGGGCCAAATTTACAAGACAGAAGATTGCAGCTTAATTATTGCAGCAGCTGCCATTCATTAAACAGAACTTGACAGAGCCTGGAGCTGTTTATGAGTGTCCACTGCTTTTCTGGCCTCCTTTTTAATAAACGAGCAGTAGTATTCAAAACTAACCCACTGGATAATCATATCAAAAATGTAACTGTGTCATTCCTTCTTTGTTGCAGTTCTTGTCTCAACTGCAAGCACTTGCTTAAAAAGTTTGCCTCAGAGCCCAAATCTTTCAGCTCTCTTCTTCTTAGCCTAGCAAATAGAAAATAATAACATTTGAAGAAGTCACATTTACACAGGACATACCTGCTGGTACTCTTATTAAGCAATAGCACATTATCTAATTTTAATTTTTTATAAATTAATTTTATCTTTCTGAATATTTTTAATATATCCTGCTATTTCTATCATAGAATTTTGTAATTATTTGTATATTTATCTATTTATTAGTATTATTTTGTAAGTTTACAAAAGCAGTCCCCCTCTATAAATAAAGTCATCTGTTTACAAAAGCAGAAGTCATCTGAACAGTATTACAATTCTTAACTCAAAACAAAATTGGCAATTTAACTTACATCTGAGATGTTTCCTGGAGATCCTGTAATAGTTACACCAAACCGTTGTTTTCTCTTCAGCAATTTATCATCTTCTTCAAGCTAAATAAAAGTAAAGAAAATTGCCAATATTAAACAAAACATACCAGGTAAGATACAACAGAAGATACATGTGTTTGGTGAGAGTTTAGTTGATCATTGAAAATTATATTCTTTGATACTAAAAATAAGACACAAACAGAAAAGGGACAAAAGAAAGGAAAGACTGTAAGAATCTCAAAACTGCCCCGTTAAAATGCATTAAAGTAATTTTGTCATTGTTTTATTTATAAGGTAAAATTACTTTCAATTTCAAGCACATTACAGATCATCAGTTCCACTGGGCTAAGGAACTCTAAATGGGCAATTGAATTGAGAAAGAAAACCTTGTTGCATTTATGCCAAATGTTATGCGCATACACAAACTTTTGCTTATTGAAGTATAAGTGTGATGTGGCAAGGTGCCCATGAAAGCAATTTCATGATGTTTATACTGTTCCATTAGATTTATCATACACAGACAGTGATGTGTTTCATTTTGATGGTTTCTAGCTCTTGAAAGTTTTTAAGAGGATTCTGCAAGCAAAAGTGGAGTGCTATAACTCTTAATGACCAAAAGGGACAACATATCTTTGTTTTTAGCTGAGAGAAGTAGAAATGTTGTAATATACATCTCAAGTGACTACATCATGAGACAAATGATTAAATGTAAACCTAACTCTGAAGTTGTGTTCTACAAGGCCGTCAATCTGTAACAGAGAACAAAATTGTAGTAGGCAAGATGTCTTTACCTTGGTTATAGCAGGAGAGACTGCACCAAATCTTTCAGCTCTTTTCTTTAGCTTATCAACATCTACTTCCTGTTAAACATAACATGACTACATGAAATTTTGTACCATTTAACATGTAAGATTAAAACATTACTGGTAGCTTCTATGCTGCTAATTGTCCCTAACAAACATTAAAATGAGTTTACCTTTCCTCCAACAATTGGTGAACTCTTGGCAGTTCCATTACTGGCAGGGCTAGAAAAACCAAATCTAAACATACAAAGGAGGCAAAAATAATTAGGGGGTTAAATTCACATAGAAAGTAAGTTCCTTAGGTTTTCTGCTCTACCATAAGCCATTAAGTTCAACTAAACAAATGACAATGGGGACGAGTTGTGGGTCAAACTATTTGCGCAACTGAATCAAAGCTTCCTCATATTGCACACCGAAAGGTTTATTTACCTCGCACAAACCAAGCTTGAGGTCTGTAGTGGAATGCGAGGGATACATTTTTTTGAACTTGGATTTTTACATGACGCCATAAATCCGTGTGAACAAAAAAAGAAAAAAAAAACAGGGAGGTTCTGTAACTTACATTGAGGACCAAGAAGATGAGGTTATTAACCCTTTAACTCCCAGAAGTGATCAACATGAAACTTCTCCCCATAATATCCTAACATGAACCAGCAAATAGGTAATGAGAATATTAAAACTTATCAAGTAGAAGTTTTTATCTTGATCTAACACCAAATTCTCATTACTACTTCACAAAGAAATGTGTAGCAGCTTAAGGGGAGAATTAATAATTTGATCTTGGGAGTTAAAGGGTTAAGATGTAAATTATATCTCTGGACTCAAAGAGAGGGAGAAGGTTTCAAATCAAACAAACTTTGGAATTTAACCAAGCCGTTTGGTGAAATATGGCATGCTAAATTGACCATATTGCAAGTTTTAACTGAGAGATATTACAAAACAGATCATAACTGACCTCTGAGCTCTGGCTTGTTTCTTCTCAACATCTGTCACTGGTGGAGACATACCAAATCTTTCTAATCTCTTTGACTTTTTCTAGCAAACAACAAATAATCAACTAATAATTTAGCTTATACACTTTCCAAGAACAACTTTTCTCAATTGAGTTATTCAGCAAATAATTAATCCTTTGAATACTGCACCTCTGCATCAGTTAATGTCACTTGACCAGCAACTTTTCCAGGAGGTGTAATGGGCACCCTTTTGCTGTAAAATAGAGGGAATGCATGTATGAATGTAGTTCACAATATTAAAAACAACTAAATGAATACAATCACTTCAAAAATTGTGTTGGATCTGTTTTTCCACTAGCAAATATTAATTAAATGTATCAGCAATGTCAATTTTAACTTCCCAACTATTCTTGTAAATTGCTAAGTCCCAGCAGTTGGAGTTCTTCACCAATGCTTTGTTTAGCATGGAACAACAAATGATCCACATAAAACACATGGTTAACAACTCCAGTCTTGCTCTTCCCTATTTAAAATGACTTCCTATTAACTAACTGACTGGGATAATTACACTCATACCCACTATAAACAGACAAAATATACTTTTTTCCCCTGTGTATCAGACCAGGGTCGTTCAAAGTGTGGATAATGCTATCCACTGGATAAATGGGTAAACAGTTATCTGCTGAATAGCAATTTATCCATTGGATATCACTATCTGCCCTTGGAACAACTGGGCCCTAGTGTACCTTTCCCAAAAATAACATTTTTTGTTTTCATGTTAAGTAAAAAATAAAAGGGTAGTCTGGGTGTGTAGATTCAAATGAAAATTGCCTAAAAATGACAGTCAATCAGCTGTGAGAGGAAAAAACAAAAACATTTCTCAGCTTTCTAGATGCATCAACCAATAACATTCTAACTTACACTGAAATAACTTTTTGTGTCTTTTTTTCATCTGCTGTAACTTCCTGAAAAGTTAAAGAAATACATGTAAACCCACAATGTTATCATTACAATTGAAAAACTGTGGTTGTTGCTTTATATCCTGTGCCTTATCATTGACTCAGAATGACACTTATCAAAATTCCTCAGAATCCCAAGTGATGTACCATTAGAGACTTTAAGTTTCCTTAAAAGGTCTCATAAATGTCAACTCAGTGGGTCAATCAAATAAATCCTACTGTCAGGACTGTAGCGTTAAGATACAAAAAAAAATACAGCTCAACATTGCCAATGTACTAACACATAGATCAGTTAGTCACAATTCACAAAGCTTGGCCCACTTAAATGTGATTTATTCAGTTGAGAGCACAAAGGAAACAACAGATCTGAACACAAGTGGAATATTACACTGCTCATCCATCTTCCACATCAGTTGCAAGGTGTGGCAAATAAAAAGAATCATTTTCACCTGGGTAACTTCTTTATCTTCTTCTGTGTCTTTTGTGTCCAAGTCTTCAGCCTCAAGGTGTTCTGAAACATCTCCTACATCTACGTCATCCAAGTCATCAGCATCATTGTCTAGGTCATCATCAGGATCATTTTCATCAACAATGTCATCACTTTCATCTTGGCTGACCACCATACCTGACAGAAAGTATTATACTATTGTACTATTGTGGGGGTGGTGGACAGGAGTGCTTTGTTGAATACTGAACACCCCATGATAAGAGAGTCCAAAGAAGTTTAGTTCCTCCCCCACCTCCTCCCAATTATCTTATGCACCAAGGGTTCCCCAATTAATAACAACAAACAATTACTAATGACAAAAGGGTTGTATATTTAAACCATTCTACACACTTGATCCAAGTATCAATTCTCCAGGGTTCATACCATTATATCAAATTTTAGGGACTTTTCCATGACTCCAATCTAACACCCTTTGATTTCCAAGATTTCAAAATCAATTCTCCATAGAGTTAACATACATTTCTTGTTTTGTATATTCTGAAAACTTTACTGCTTGAAATAAGCAGATTTCCAGGACTTTTGAAGACCCGTAGCTTTTCCAGGACTTTCCAGTCCTCGAAAACATCAAAATAAAATTCCAGGACTTTCCAGGTTTTCCAGGACCCTTTTGACCTCTGACACTTAGCTCTGTCTTGCTCACATTTTAACAAATCAAGCTCTGAGAACCTGTTGCTAAATCGAACAATATCCTTAAGTCAATAACTTTCCTTTCTTCCACATGAAAATGAAGAAAATTACTCTTGGTCACTCAAAGGAGTGAAAGGGCTAAGGTACTAAGACACTAGAATTTGAATGCTCATCACAACACACAGCAACCAACCTTGATCAGCCAGACATTTTTCTAACCGTTCTTGCAAATCGCTTTTGTTGCCCTTCGTGGAGAGACCGCGATCTGCAAGCTCCTTTTTTAGCTCAGCTACCTATGAAAATAATTATAATCAAAACATGCCACGGATGAACTAATACAGCAGTCATACTTGTAATTGATTAGTCCAAGTGAGAAGAGACGATTCAGTATTTACTATCAATGCAAGCTACTTCGTCAATGAGTACATCGTTCATGAATCAAAGTCAACAGAAAGAAAAGCTACGTACATCGAGCTTTAGCACTCTAAAACACTGATGTCACTCATGTAAATTGCTTATTTCTTGGATAGAACTTAGTATTTTAATTATTTCATCCGTTGCCTGTGGTGCGATCTATCTTAGGTCCTTAATAAATCAAAGTACCTTCAGTTTCTTGAGGTTTATTACTGCTTCACCGTCCGCCATCTTGCCTTTCTGAGCATCAGTGCGCACGTGTCGTTGGCCGAAATGCATTATTATAACAGATAAATTGTCCTTCACATATTACCGCTGAAGATGGCGGAAAAACAACTGAAATCTCCCTAACAGCACCTGAAAACATGTCCAAATTTTGATTATTTTGGAAGAGAAAAGATCGTTATAAAGATGCGGAGAGGACCAGGAGGAGTTGGAGCAATTAACAGACAACGTTTGGCGAGGGTAACTTCAGTCTAGCCCCGAAAAAATAATTAGAAAAAAACCTGGCTCATTTTGATGTACTCCTTGCTAAACAAGTCAGCACCCTTAATTTTTTTAATTTAAAATCTTCACTCATTTTTTTTTCAGGAGAAGTATGCTACAAAGGGAACAGAAATAGCAGACATTCAACTGTCCCAAGTAATAACCATTTTATGTTTCTGAGAATTTTGGTACTCTTCCTTCATCAGCTCTTGGCAAAAAGGATTTAGTTTATTTAGCTAGGAGGAGTATGCCGATTTAAGTCTGTAGAATATCAATTCCATATGAATTGTTTTGCTTCCGTTATGAAATCATTATCGAAATATTTAAGATAGCTATCTCTTCTCAGAAAATTTTGGCCATGCCTTTTTACTTTTAGATGGGGAAACAGCTAGATTCCTTCAAGACATCACTCGAAGACTTCGCGGGGAAGTACAAACAGGAGATTAAGAAGAACCCTGAGTTTAGAGGCCACTTTCAGCAGATGTGTGCTCGCATCGGTGTCGACCCTCTGGCATGTAAGCTATATGTATGGCCGCTCTGGCCCGGTAGTTTAAAACAATTAACTTAACCAATGGAAAACGTAAATTTTGCTGAAGTTTTATTGCATTTTGTAGGCATTTATTCTTAATTTTGTGTCTCATCAGTTTTGCCTCACACTGAGGTAACCCCTCAAGACTTAATTTCTATTATATACTTGAGGATCGGAGAAACCAAAACAAAATATTCGCATTTACATGTATCAGGCATTAGCATCATCAACACTCAGAACAACTGAGGTCTGTTAGGTAGAAAGCCATATAGAGAGCAGGTTGGAAAAACCTCTTATTTCTAGTAGCACAAGTCATCTCTGGATTTGTGTTCATACATATGATGGAATACCATCAAACAGAGGGAAAACCAAGGCATTTCGCTTCAACTGAAGAAACATCAAGTTCTCATACCACATTTGCTGCCACTTGCATTTCAGCAAGCAAAGGTTTCTGGGCAGAGCTGCTTGGTGTTGGAGATTTCTACTATGAGGTAGGTAGTCAGATGAAACACCAAAAACAAACTAATGGCAAGATCCTTTGCAAGGCACTCCTAATACACTATTACCAATACTTCATCCAATGGGAAAAAAGTATGGCTTACAACACAAGACTTATTAACAAAGGTGAAAAATTTACAAAGACACAAAAACAGAGCTTAGCAAAAGGCAAAAGCTAATAAATATTATGTAATATCTTGTAATCCTAGAACCTACAAAAGTTGTTATTGATGTCATTGCATGATGTATGCAACCTGGTGTTATTCTTTGTCAATAACTCCAAACAAAATTGGTTATCTATTTTGCAATCAATAACCATTGTGAAGTGCAACACTTATTCTTTTCAACAGTAAGTAAAACTATTGCATGGTCATCTAAAGTCTAAATCCTCCCACAACTATGAGTAAAGGATAGTAACATTGTTATTAAACTGCCTTCATGTTCTTCTTGTCTTATTCTAAACCAGCTTGGTATCCAAATTGTTGAAATCTGCATGGCAACAAGGTCACGGAATGGAGGTTTGTGCAATCCTTACAAGATGTTAAAAATTTCCTTCATGATATGAGAAGACATGTTCACATAGCTAGTGTCAAGTTAGATTGAATGAATTTGCAGGTAATACTGAACAGTACACTATTAATATCCAGAAATTTGTTGCATATGCATTTGAGTCTCTATAAGCAACAGATAAATAAATATTGTCTTCCCTTTTGAATCTATGGTGTGAATGTTTATATCTGTCTTTTAACATCTTAGGCCTGATGACAATGGATGAGTTACACAAGAAAATTCTCAAGACTAGCAAATCTAGACAAGATGTATCTGAGTAAGAGTTGCAAGTTTACTTTCAAAGTAATTTTTGGTTTACTTTATTTTAAGTTTGGTGGAAGAAATTAGGTATTCTTGACTTAATTATGAAGAAGTCACCATTTTGAAAATGGGAGATGCTGTGGCATTTCAATTTAAGGATGAAAAACTTTGAATTATGAGTTCCAGATCTGAGACTTGGCCAGGTTTATTTTTTTGCGTGTTCTTGTGGAAAACACTTTACTATTACAGTACCTTTCTCCACCCAGGCCATCCATGGGGAGCAGCAATAGTTCTAGTGGCTTTATGCTGTAGAAACCAGAACAAGCTTTCATAGTGTTGCTTGTGAAGCTCAAAGGCTAACTTTGCTACCCTGTTCATTCCAGGGATGATTTGGCACGTGCCATCAAAAAGCTACATGTAATGGGAAGTGGCTTCCAGATCATACCAGTCGGTACCAAACGGCTCGTCCAATCAGTGCCAGGAGAATTGAGCATGGATCACACTGCTGCTCTTCAGCTCGCACAGGTTTGTATTTTAAGCCATGCCAAGGAAATAAAATGGTAAAACTTGCTATTCTCTCATGAAGAATGCAAATTTAATCAACAAAAAGCTTTTTTACTTGCCGTGGCAACCAAAATGGTTGGTTTCTGTCATGGACTTCTCTCTCCCCCTGACCACACCTTACAGACTTCTGTTGGCTCTTGTCATTATATTCCTTGCCATCTTTCCCCCTCCTACTCTTTGCCAAGCATATCCCTACACATACATATTACTATTTTTATAAATGATATGACTGTAATATTTCAGTTTTCTTGTCTTAACTGACCAATGATATTTTGAGAAGCATGGATGATAATTTTCTAGCAGCAAGTTTCTGACAGAAGTCTACTAAATTTGTTACCTTTGTAGCCAACTCTGCACTAATTTCTGTTTCTCCAGGGTACAGGGTGCACATCTGTATCATTCATAATGAAGGATCTAGGATGGGATGCTGATCGCACAAAGAGAGTTTTGGTAAGCTACATAAATGGGCACTTTTTGACTGAGTGTCTTGATAAAGTAAACCCAAATAATCACAATAACCAATGGGAAGAAAGGAAAATGCCTTAAAGAGCCAACAAGAACTCAAAATAAAGCCAACCAAACCACCCTAGGCAAGGGAATCGTTTAAGTAACTTCTTCATACTTACCAATAGATCATTAAATCTGCTGGTCATATGAGGACGCGGAGAACTATCTGCAATTATCATATGCCCTGATTTTACACTTAATTCTCATTACAGGCAAGGGAAATGTACTAGCCAGTATCAAGAAAAATAAATTTGGGTTTTAGATCACCTGCTGATTTTTCTGTCGTTGGTTTTGCAGTTGTTATTGTTGTTATTTTTTAGGATCACATGGTTCATGAAGAGATGGCCTGGGTTGACGACCAAGCACCCAATGAAAGATTATACTGGTTTCCAGGTCTCTTCCCAGAAACATAGCCTACTGAATTGAAGCCATATAGAAGAATATCAATTAAATGTAACCCATTGTGAACTTAAAATATCTATTGTAGTGGCAATTCCCAAGAATCAGGTCATAATTCTTAATAATTTCCATTGTGTCACTGTGTAATTAAATTACAAGACCAATTTACAAGGTGGCAGTGTATGTGGTGTTTTGCAAATGACAAGGTAATTAGTGCACACATTTCATCCTTCTTAGATGTCAGCTCTAATTCAGAATCACCTTCTGGTTACCAATAATTCAAGCTATGATCAGTGAAGTATTCAATTCAATGCTACCTATTTAAACTCCTTGATGAAGAGGGGTACTGTGAGAGTGACAAGTAAACCAAGAAAGGGATCAAAATCAGCCATGATTACTCTGTCAAGATCATTGCAACCTGTCTGGAAAATATTTTTCAACAAAATGCAATAAAATTTTGTTTGGGATCCTGGCAAAGACAATTGCTTAAATTCTGAAACAATTACAAAAAAAACTTCTCTTTTCAGCCTATGTATAAGTTGTAAAACTGTGTTTAATTGTAAGTATTTCCTAACACTGAATCCAATTTAGTTTAGGCAGTTAGCTCAGAAAAAGAGGGTAAGTTTCTAAAGAAACTGTGGTGCTGCATTGGTGGGAGAGTATAATGGAGTTATGTAGTATTTTCAACTGAGTTAATCATGTAGATTAGCCACCGTAAGGAGTTTCAAAGCTGATGTTTCGAGCATCAGCCCTCTGTCATTCACTCTGATAAAGAGCTAACGCTTAAAATGTCAGCTATAAACCTCTTTAAGGTAGGTAGCTCAGATAGTTTAGTCAGGTATCTCAATCTTACTTACAGACCCACCTTAACCCTTTTACTCATGAGTGACCAAGACAGAATTTCTCCTTACAATATCAATATAGTATCAACCAAAAGAAGTGATAAAAATAAAGAAAAATATTAATTTGGGGATAATTAGTTGATCCAATACTAAATTCTCTAAAGTAACACCATAAGAATTGTATGGTTGACAATAAGGAGAATTACAAACTTGGTCTGGGAGTTAAGGTTAACCTAGCAGTGGCTATTTGAAAATCAGTCAATGTAATATTGATAATTTGGAAACTGAATAAAAACTGGAAGTTACAAGTATTATAGATTGCCTGAATGAGCTGCAGCAGAGAGGGCATAGGGGAGCTTTATCCAGTATATAACTGATAAAGGGTGTCAAAGAATTACCAGGCTTTATAGCATAGAATCAAAAGATTTAAGGGTATCAGAAAATTTTATAGTGCCAGTGGTTCAACAAACTGACATAAATGGCAGCATGGTGTCCAGTTTGAACCAGCAGTAAGGTGTAAAAAATAAACTAACCTTTATTTAGCCTCCTTGATGATTGTCATTAGACATAAAATAATAGCTACATAAATATATTTCAGATAAGAGAAATCTCACTCATCTTGTAAAAGATGCTTGTTTTATTCAAATATAATGAGAATTAAGAACACTGTAACAGTATGAATTACATCATTAACTCCTTACCTTAAAAAGCTGCATATTAATGATAATTAAAATCCTGATCTAGTTTTCTCAAATATAAAAAGAAACTAGTAGAACAACAGTACTGTAAATATTATCACCTTAATTTCCTCTATATTTTGTACCTAAATTTAAAAAGTATTTTCATCTCGTGTACCAGCTGTTAGTCAGATGTTTTGTACACAGTTTTGAACAAATAAGAATAATATCCACCCTTGGAAATAATTCAGTTTTTGTCAGCTGCAATTTTCAATGGGCTTATTTTGAACATGCTATTTTACACTTTAACAAGTAGTAAAACATGTTGATTTGGGACAAAATTGTTTTTATAACATCTGTCAATCATGTGGCACATAGGAAGAACACAATTCAAAGTGTAATAATTGATGCTAAATGATTATTGGCATTCAAAATACAAGAATATCTGAAATCTCACAATTCAGTACATTACAACAAAGTATTTCCAATCTGAATTAGAGTTAACAGATTCAAAATTTTGAACCCCTAGGAAAAACACTAAACGTCATTTTAGATAAAAATACAAGAATGTCTGAAATCTCACAATTCAGTACATTATAACACAGTATTTCCCATCTAAATTAGAGTTAACAGATTTAAAATATTGAACCCCTATGAAAAATACCAAACGTCATTTTGCATGAGAAAAAAATTGAGCCTGAATTTCTAGTCCTTTGTTGAAAACCCTTTCATTTACCATGATTAGTAACAGATAATTTGTTTTTCTCTCAGGTTTGTTCAAGATCTGAAGGAACCTTTGTCATTACCCTAAACTTTGTGCATCAGTTAACCTTGTAGTAAAGGAATTTCAGGTACAGATGTTGCTCCAAAAGGTTGTTAAAAAGAATTTGATTGGCTACAGAAACATAAAAAGAAGCTGAAACTGAATGAATTTCCCACATTTTCATTCACGGATTTATCTGAGTAGCATTTAGCCATCAGAGAACCTTACATAGGACAATAATATTTCTACATGCCAAATGCATTTTGACAATACAGCGCATCACTCGTATACACTTAAAAACCTTGATGTGTCCATTAACTGGAATATGATGGCAAAGCCAATGTTACTAACTCAACATATATAAAGAGCACTTGTGCCACTTGTGTCACTCACTGATTTAAAATATCCTGACTTATCTATGTATATATCTATATATATATATATATATATATATATATATATATAGAAAGCACCTGTGCCACTCATGTCACTCACTCACTTAAATATCCTGACTAATCTACACACTACAACAAAGTCATTTACTATAATACTGACGAGCCCAGAGAAATCTTTTTCTATTTGTAAAACAACAGTTTCAGAAAGGCAAACATCCACTACCATTTAAGATCCATCAGATCTTCCTCATACAAGGATATCACCAACATAATCACAATTCCAAGCAGTAAGCCAAAGTTTTGACAAGCAAATGTTACTACTGGTTCAGTCTGCAATGACTCACTGTGCATCAGGTCTGGAAGCTGCAAAAATATAAGTTGTTATGTTAGCTCTGAACTGAAAACTACAGTGTATTGTTTCTCAAGGCATACATATTTTGCAAGTCTGCTCCAGGTTACCACACCCCTCCTCCAGCATTTTGCCAGATTTCCCTGACAGTGAACTGGTACCCACTCAAGCTCCTGCCTGAGAAACAACAAGGTAACCTACCCAGGAACCTAAAACCTTCACCTTTGGCTTTAGGGTTCATAATCCTATCTAATAAAAATAGCCCTTTATGTACGGCGAATAGAATATGTCAAATTCTATAGAAAATATTTCTTACCATGTCCACCAAAGATACATAAAGAAATATTCCTGCAGCAATGGCAAAGATCCAGAACCGCACATCAGCCTGTTGACCAACAGAGATACCAATTGCCAATCCAATATAGCAAGACAAGGCTGACAAAAAATTTGCTACCAGTGCCATCTTCACAGACATGCCAGCTGAGAGCAGTACTGCAAAATCACCTGCAAATTGAACAGAAAAATTACAGTACTACTCACTCCATTGAAAAAATAATCTGATAATTAAATGCAATAAATATTTTAACTGTTTAGTGACTGCTGGGAATTCTAGAGCATGGAAACATTGATCATCTCTCAAACATATGTTAGTTTAACTGTATTTTGTACAATGTTTGGTAGATTCCACATTGGCAGAAGTTCAGTTATTAACTGCTCATCTTTGCTTTGGTATGATACAGGTAATGCATGGTATGCTAGAACAAAGACAGGAGGTAGGAAGTAGCAGAGGGAAATAGGCGTCTCACCCAACAACACAGCACAATGGCTTGTGCTCAAGGCCATTAGGCAACAGGTAATCATGGCATTCACATATGTAGTAATATCAAACCGATCAAGTTACATGCATGCAGTACCATAAAGATTTTCTTACCAAGTTCATGTGGCAACTCATGGCAAAACACAGCTATTGATGTACTTATGCCACCAGAGATACCAGAACTCCCTCCTTCGGCAAATGCTGCACCAATGGCTAAACCATCACTGATGTTATGAAGAGTATCACCTATTATGATCATCCAGGCAACAGTTGATATCTTTTTCAGAGGCTTCCTCATTCCTTCTTCGTTACTGAATACTGAACGGCGTGACAAGCTGTGTTTAAGACTTTTCTTGGGTTTGCCTGATGCATCCTGAGGGAGTGCATCTCCATTGATCTCACCTTTGGCATTCTGCTTAAAAGAAAAATCTATTCTTTGTACCTGAACAAAGTACATTTCAGCATGATTCTTTTCAGCAATGAGCTCTGTCAGGCTGCATTTTTAAATCTTTTGAGCAGGAGCAAATTGCATAATTTCACATGAATGTAACTCCACTACAAAACTTTTGCATCCCACAAAAGTTCCCTGGTTAAAAGGAACATCAATTTATCAGCCAGAATGCCCACTCTGTCAGTGCTCAACCCAATTGCAACTGCATGAAGTAACTGGTAATTATGTCTTATTGTTTGTTGATCAGACACAAAAAATATCAAGTTGCCCTTCATCAAAAGATGTTGTTTGTGGAAAGTTCATTAATTTTATAAAAATTTAAAACGAATTCAGTCTCATCATCTATTCTCCTTTAGTCATTCATTTAAAAATTTCACTGTTTCAGCAATTATTATACTAGGCACAATTCAATGCTTTCTCATGCTGAAAACCAATGAGCTTTCCCTAAACAGTTCCAATAAAGAATTTGAAAAGATCACATCACTTTTATACTTTTAAGACATTTAGAGCATATTTACAATAGAAAATTTTACCCAAATCAGAACCAACAGTTTGGGAAGTAAGATCATTCAACTTTTACAATCATAATCATTGGAATACCCCTAATTATGAATACAACATGACATTATCAATTGTCACTTTACCTGGTAATCACACCCTTCAGTGTCTGAACTAGAAACATACTCATAGACACAGTGTGAATAAAATGTACACGAAGGACTGGAGATGTAACATGCTGCGGGACCGTCCTTAAGCGATAAAAGATTACAGGTTTACATTTAAACTTCAATTCAAAACAATTCAACCAACCTAAGAGTTTAAACATTAAAATAAGAGTTTAAACAAAAGTAGATTAACTTAACTTTACACACATCAGATTTAAAATGTACCCTAACATAAATATCGGTGTTCTCCACACTTTTTTCTGCACATTTCCCAAGGTGCTAACATGGAGAATTTTTTTAACAATCAGGGGCTCAATTAGTTGGTGATCATTTCCTTTTTTTCTCATTACCTTAATGTGTGATTTGGGATGATCTTGTAAAGAGAAATTAGATGCTTGTCACTCTGAGAGGTCAAAGGGTTACAGGATTTTTTTTTTATGATTCTTTTGTAACTCTTCAATTTTAACATTAGCATCAGCACCATATCCTCTGCGTTGTACTCTGATCTGGTGACTTTTAGAGGATCTATCTATCATGGAATTTTACTGACATCATGCAGCCTCAATTGAGCAGAGTGTTTCAGTGCTGGCATTCTATAATTAATACTCACAACTTAATCTTGTTATAACCCTATACATCTGAATTCTGATCCACATTTACCTTCACTTCATTAATCTCCTTTAAATACTAAGGGTAGTATTTACACACAAAACATAAAAATTGGTCCCCATAATCAAATTCTTCCCCAATTTCCCCAGTAAAACTCTTGTGTCAAATATTTGACGATGCACCCCTGTGAAGTATTTCAATGAATAAAAGCTGAATGTTGTATTAACTGCTCACAGGTGTCCATTTACACATTTATATATTGACTAGGGTGGAGCAAAGTACCCCAGGTCTTTCTCCAACCAACAAAGTAAAGAAAGCTTTTAATATTCTACTCACCACATTAGTCAAAACAATGTCACCATTTCCCATGGGTGGTTTTTCTTCATGATTATCGGCAATGGGCGGTATACCTTCACGGCGCTCCAACCTGGAACATCTTCTCTCCTTTTTGAAACTCATATGCCGACTGGAAGGACCAGGAAGCTGCAAAAATATGATAATAACACTTAGTTTCAGAGCTGAAAAAATTTTCTAGCAGTATTATCATGTGAGGATAACAAAAAACTCTTGATTTCAGGCTTAAAACAAAAAAGAGTGAGAGCAATGCTAAGACTGATCTCATTTATCCATTAAAATATATGACAGAGGAATAGGCAAAGTATTTAGCACATGCAGTGTCTAATGTATTAAATTTGCCCACCTCAACATCAACATGACTGTGGCTGTGTTCTCCAATCTTACTCCTCAAACACAGATGCATCAGAGTCTCAAACAAGAAGAATGCGTAAATAGAGACCAGTACAACCAAAGCTTTCCAGACAAAGCCATTATCTTCTTCATGACTTTCATGGCCGGCACCTTCTTCTTCATGTGCATGGAGACCGAATGCCTGCATAATGAAAAAAAGGGTAATTGTGGTAAAGTAAGTTATGTCTTCTTTGGCAGGTAAATAACATAGTTTATATATTCTATACTGAGAGAGGCAATATGAAAGAACAATCCCAAATATTGGGTTTGTCAGAATTTAAACATGAAATACTTTACTTCTTATAGAAGCAAGGGAATAGAGAGCAACTCCTCCCAGACTATCAATTGAATTCACTGAACAACAGAGATTGTCCTATTTCATAATTTGAAATTCTGGTTATAACACCACTTAACATTTCTAAACATGATGTCATTGACACTTTAAATCCTGAGAGTGATCTAATGTGCATCTAATTTCTCCTTTCAATACTGCTAAATCATTCACAGAGATCATGAGAATGTTGGACCAACCCTAAAAAGCTTTGATTGTTAGACCAATTCTCCTTGTCAGTACAAAACAAAATGTATAAAGTACAGAGAATATTGATACTGATGTTAGGGTGCAAAAGGGTTTATATCCTTACATGAGGTAACAAATGAAGTAAACTGTCTCCAGCCAGTGTTCCAATAGCAAGTGCAACCAAGGTGGCCAGGACTTTCTTGTACATGCTCTTTCCAAAAAATGGGATGGTGGCCACTCCTGCCAAGGATGTGAGACTGATGATGGTAACAGAAACAAAGCCATAGCCCCATACTGAAAGTTAAACATTGAGAAATAACAATAAGCTTAGCTGGGAAAAGGTTCAGATGAAATGGTTCAGAGCTATGAAGAGTGTAGCATGCCATACATTCACCTACCCTGTGGAAATGAAAATTTTGATGTTGATAAAAGGATATACATCATTGCTCTTAAAAAGAGGACTGATAAAATGTAAAAGGACTTTGAATAATTCCAGTACTGAGGGAGTGGTTGCACTCTAAAACTAGGCTATAGAAATTGGAGAGTCTGTGCCCTAGAAAAGGGGATCATCATAGGGAAAGTTCTTTGGCTGCCAACTGTAGGTTAATGCTAAACATTTGCATATCATACTGGGATGATCAAAAGAGAAAGAGGCTAATTCCCATCAAGGAACTGATAAAGTGTAATAATCATACATAATTTTAACAGTAAAGGTAAAGAATCCAATCCTACCGATGCATCAGCCACTGCGTCAGCTGACACTCTACTGACACACCACCAACATACTACCAACACATCGGCCAACACACTGCCAACACACTGCCAACGCATTGGCCAACACACCACCAACTCATTGGTAAGATCTAAATCACTGCCATTTTGAGAACAAAACACTAATACCTAGGTCTTCTCCTAATTATTTCTTTCTTAAGGGTTGGTAAGATTAACCAACGCATCAGCCAACACACTACCAAAGCAATAGTAAGATCAACCACATAGGAAAAGGAACTCTAAATCGTCGCCATTTTGAGGAAGAAGAGGGCTTCGTCGCCAAAAAAAATGGCTCCTTTAGGAGCCACCATGTTTGAAAAAGTCAATGTCCAACATAATAAAATTGAAGTGTTTTAGGTGTTAAAAATTTAAAAACTCGACAACAGGTGTCAGTTTGGAATATTAAGGTCTTCTTATGGAAAAATAAGGGAAATGTTCATCTAATGCTCAGTCAGGATAAGTAACTGAGTAGGGACTGGGTTCCAATAACATGATAAACAAAATGGTGGCCAAAAGAAATTATTCATTTTCATACTGCGAGTGAAAGTTTTCCAAAGACAACATTACAGATAAGTGTGGAAAAGGAAGGTTTAGCATTGCTTTGCATAAGTAAGGCCCAAACAAAGTCAACAACACACCACTGACACATCTTGTACATTAGAAGGTAAACAGTGGCCAACGTATTGGCCGACTGTCAGCCAACACGTCAGTAGGACTGGATTCTTTACCTTTACCATTTTAACATTGATCACACTCTTAGACCATAAGCACAGAGCAGAATAAATCCTACAGCTAACTTCAAAATTACCAGACAGTCAAGTTGCTAAGTTGGTTTTTTTTTTTACCAAAAGAGTTGTAGCTTGGATTGCCGACTTAACTATGCATTGAAAAACACTTTCAGAATGAGACTTAAGTAGCTAAATATGAAATAACAGCCTTACATAGAAACACTTACTTTTTCCCATGTCTTTATCAGTGTTAGGTCCAGCTGTTGGAGCAGCTTCATTGCAATGTCCACTTTTGGCTTGTTGAATGAAAGCAGGGCATAGCTCTTTGAAGTCAAATTTATCTGCACCAGTCTCGTGATCAATATCAAAAACTTTCAGCATGTCATCAAGGGAGTAACACTGGGAATGTAATGATACAACATACCCTCTTTTTATACTGTTGTTTCACAACAATAAGTTTGCCCAACATGTAAACAACATCAGCAATAACAAAACCCCTCACTGATCAGAACAAATGACAACTAGAGAATAATCAAACCTATGAGGTGGTTGCTATCTTGATCTACTACCAAATTCTTATAACTAAATCACAAGGAAAGGTGTGGCAGCTAGAGGGGAGAATTAACAATCAGATCTTGGAAGTTAAAGGGTAAATCAATAACTATGTTCCTTACAGTTCCAGTCTCATGAGCATGTGCATGATCATCAACTTCACGGCGATGAACAGAATGAGGGGTCTTTGATTCCAGTGATGAGGACAAGAGGGACCCAGCAGATCGTCTTCGTCGATGGTTGTGACCATGTGAATCCTCTCCACCTGATGACTCAACTTTACCAATTTTACCAATTTTTAGGACTTTCATAATTGCTTCCAAATCTTCCTCAAGGAGGCGTGTCTTGTTCTCAAAGAGCTCATTCATGAAGAACTCCCTTGAAGGTAAAGATGAGGTCTCATTGTGACCATGGGCTTCTTCAATGCAGTATCCCTGTACTAAATGTAGCACAATACTGGCACAGGCATTTTGAAAGTCTCCCAGGTCAAGGGTTTTCTCTTCCTTTTCATGATGGTGATCTTCTCCTTCATGATGGTGATGTTCTTCTTCTTCATGATGGTGTTCTTTTTCTTCCTCAATCTCTTTAACAATGTCTTCAGCAGAAAAACACTACAAAAAACACACACACACACAAAGAAACTGTTAGATTTTCCCTAAATCACACTCACCTATGTAAAGTAAAGTAGCATTCAAAGCTGTGAAAGTTATATGCCAAACAATACACATCGTGAACACCTTCCCTCCTTAAAACAAAAGATAACTGGGTAGGAGAGCAGCCATTTTTCCTGTTACTATGTCTACAGGAATCAGGATTGATAGTCTTTTTTAATGGTTCATTTTCCTAAATTTCCCACCACTATTCATTACAGTTCTTCTAATTTACACAACAACAGCACCATATTTATGCTCATTCTGATAAAACTAGTGAGTTGAAATATTTTTAAAATGCATACTCAATTCATTTTACCCACTAATAGAATGACATGAAAATTTTCAGCTGATTTGTTTTAATGCTTCCTCCTGATTTCATTTAAGTTCCATGTTTCCTTCAAAAAAACTGCGAGCAATCAAGTGATTATTGCTCAATAAACTATCCTACCTAATGTAACTGAAAACACTCATCTAAAAAGACAGATTTATAAACTTTCACAAGCATGAATTTAATTACACATCACTGTCAATTTTTTCCTGATATGAAGTCAAATGCTCATAAAAGGACTCCTCAGATAGTTTGTTTGCTTGTCACACTTTCTTTTATACTTCTGTTGACAGCCTTGTGGAAACAAAGTATATTGCTATTGCACATGAACAACATAGTAGTTAAAAACTAAGATGAAGAGGTGTTTGAAACAAGTGACATAATTTTCAACAAAGCAATTCACCTAGTTTGTGTAGGCAACTACCTTGTCAACAGTGTAAGCCAGCTTTTTCCACAGGAACAAATGAAGAAAACAGTCACTTCTTAATTTCACATTCTTCCTTGTCTAACCATTGGACTACTATTCACAGTCCCCAGTTTGACACATTAATAAGAATCCTAATGTAAATTTTACAAAAAAAAATTCAGGTTTTGTCCTGATAATTCTATAACTCTCTCAAAATTGGAAGATTGTTAAGGCATAATTTACAAGTTGATGAATTGTACCTTAGGATCATCAAGTAAAAAGCCTTTCTTTCACTACATTGTAATTCTCCTTTCTCTCCAATACACATTTCTTCACAAATAAGTGATGAGAGATTGGTGCAATATCAAAACAACTCTCTTTCAATGAAAACTTTTTCTAGTCTCATCACGTGTTTGGTGGATAATGTCTTGAAATTGTGAGCTGAAGTTGCATGATGAGAAATACTAGAAGTTAAATGTTCAAACAGACTCAGTACAGTAGCCACCAGAGTGCAAAGTAACTGGCTGAGATCACAAACTAGTCTGCTGGCAGTCAGCTTTTTTAAACCCTTCAACTTCAAGAAATGATAGATCCATGTGAATGCTTCCTATAGTATCCATACTAAACAAAGCAAACAGATGATGATAACACCCCTTGTACTATACACTAATTCCCCTGAGACTATTATACCAGCACAACACCACATCTCTTAACTAAACAAGAATTACCACATTGCTTAAACTCTGCAGTCATTGTCAATTAATAATTTTTGACTGCATAAAATCTGCTAGACCATAAACAATTAGGATGTTTTATAAGTGGACCTTTGTTTTAAAGCTTACAAGTGCAAGTGCAACTATTTCATACTAAGTCTGCTCATTTTTCCATAATTATCTTTAAAAATGAGTAGGATCACTTTGATGACTTATAAATGTGCCTTTGAATATGAAAGCGATCTTCACAGTAATGATGTGATCAAATGTGCCTTTGTCTGAAAGTTTATGCATTAAAGTTAAACCAACTCTTTAGAAGTTGTTACAGTATAATCTAACTGGCAGATCAACACTACAATCTCACAAACTCAACTATTTCATTAACCAGCTAGCAATGTTCTTAATAAGGAATGACTCCTTAAAGTAGTACAATATTTATCTCAAATAAACTTAATTAACCCCACCACAGGCCATATCCTTGCGCACCACTGACACAATCTCACTGCTGTCTCCAAAAGTTCCTTGAAATGAGCAATCTTCTACAGTAACTCTCTCTCTCTCTATAGCTTTCAAAACAGTCACTGCTCCAACAACAACAACTACCTACTACTACATAAGTGAGTCTTTATATATATTCACAAAGTGCTCTGGAACATCCCAGAGGCTTACATAAGAACTGTTTTAATTGTTTTACATAATAAATGCGTGAATGATGAAATGTTCTGGAGAGTTCTATAGTATGCAAATCAGCATGACTCAGCAGTTCGAGAAGCCCATATTTACAACAATTACTCATAAAAAAGTCTACCTATTCTCATTGCCAAACTCTTTCAGAGTTGAATTAAAGCACTTGACTATCAGGGATCACTAATAAATGGGCCTCTGTTTTAAGGCTTGTTGGTGGAAGTTTAATTAACCTTCTATACATGTAAGCCTGCTGCTTTTGTCCCTTAAAATCTTTAAGTGAGCAAAACAACTTCCTCTTTCCACAAATATTAGTTTCTCTTTCAGAATCAAACCCATTGCTATTGCAGAGTTATATAATCAAAAGGAACCTCTTGTGGAATGTTGACATTGACTGAATAGAACATCTCTCTAATCTGCATTCTTTCAAGTTTACTCCACCTGTTGTTGCAAATATGCTGTGACCAGAAAAATCCTGGCCACTATTGCAATCTATTGAAAAGATAGGAAATTAATGACAATTTTTAACCAGCACAAGCTTATCTCTTGATAAGGAGAGTCCTTCTAAGCAGAGTATTATTAACCTTACCTCATGCTATGAGAATTCACAACATTTTTTTAAACAATTAATAATCAGCAATGATAATCTCATGATAAAAAGACAGGATCACCTGTCTATTATCTTGCTCCACGTGAAAAGAATGCGGCCTCTAATTCCAATCTCTGATACCAACAAAACATGTCACTGCAGCTGGCACTCTGCCAGAGCATGCACTTCCATTTTTAGAAAGAAATTGTCTTACTGAAGTTATGGTAAAAAAACCTCTTAAACGTATAAAGTCCGTGTGGAAAAACACACCAATACCTAAAATGACAACTAGATATAGAAAAATAGCTGGAACACATCTTCCCCTGGAATTTTCTCGACTTTCAATATTAAGTCCGCATTAAGCATTTTTTTTATTCGGTCGACACGATATGAAGCTTTACGTAAAGAAAAGTTGGGTTTGGGTTTATTTTAAGACCATCCGTCGACACGATACGAGTGTCATAGATTACACATAAATGTAAACTACTTCCAAAAGAGACACACGGGGAGAAATTTCGGTCAAGTAATTGCGCTTCAAAACTGCTTCACAATGGTCGCCACGTTTTTTTAAGAGATGTAATGTAAAGACAGCTCAATGTGTCTGAAACTAGTAACGCGATTACATGCCACCCAGTGAAAACCTTACTGAGGGTTGTAGATAAGAGCCGGTAGCCGGCGAAGTACGCCGGCTTCTCTTCAAGGTTTCGCCGGCTACTTTCATTACTTCGAGAGCAGTACAGAGATGATGTTCATCAGGTCTAAACTTGGGCTCAATAAAAATATAAATTTGCACTGCCTATCTTTTCTGAAAACATAAAAAGACTTCTAAGTCAAGGTTAGTTTAAAAACGTTCTGATGGGGACTGTTTTTTTGACAAATCTTGCTGCGGTGGCAGGAAAGTACGAACGGCATGACGTTTTGTCCGCCCTGTTGGATTTCGATATATGAATACCGTTTACCTTTAAAAAAGCTCTGGCTAATTAAAAACCTTAAAGAAAATCCTGCTTACATGGCTATTTCAAGGGAATTAACTAGAGTAAGCGATGACTTCATTTGTGCCACGTGGAAGCAACATGTTGGTATATTTTATTCTCAACCCTAAGTCTTGAATCGATCGAAAACTGAAAGTACCTTAAGCACAGCAACGTTCAACTAAGTGCGCAACATTTTTTGTACAAAAAGGGAAAGAAAAACACATCAGATTCAAGTTTTTTTTCTCTCACCTTTTTCTTAGTTAAATGTTTCCCGATCGTCGAGTTGATCTTGTCCAATATTTCATCCAATGCTTCATGCGTAATGTTTCCGTGTTCGCCATGTTGACTGACATTCCTTGCGAAGAAGTTGTAAAGTTCGCTGTGGTTCTTGGGAGGTGAACATCGACCAGGGTTCTTTTCAGGCGCAGGCAGCAGACAGTAAACAATCATGGGACTGATTTCAACAAATTCGCTGGAATTCAACTGTGTAACCGATGACCCAGCGTAATTGAAGACATCCGTCGTGGAGAGACACTAGATAGCAAAAAATTCGATCAAAGAGACGAGAAAGACAAAGGAACCGCGTGCTCGGCGAAACAACGACAGGGAAAACGCATGATTCGATCTCTATTTCTTTAATGTTTTCTAAGCACAACTATGACAATTTCGATTCTTTTGATGCTTTGGCATTAGCTAAAGATATATCAAAGAAGAGCTACTTCATTCGAGTATTGAATACAGGAGTTTTATTAACTTTTTCATGAACGGAGGGAATCGAGCGAATCTATTTCCTAACTTAAATTCAACGAACCACAAGGTCAAAGATCGTGTTTTTTAACATATTAACTTATCTCCCTTTACCGTTCTGTGGTGGATCCCAGCAGTGCTGTTTGAACAGTTCCAGAAATGCAGCTTGGAGAGGAGTCTATTGACATCATCTGAGAGGAGAACCTCGCCATTTAATGTTTCTTGTAACGCTGTAAAACTATAGTGCTCATGCTTCTGCTTTGGTAGTTCATGAGCACGAACCAGAAATCTCAAACTAAAATAAAAACACAAAAGTAAAATAATTTCCTTGGAAATCATTTTGCTAAGTAATGAAGATAAAGATTTCTCTTATTAATGACCGCTGTCTCGCAAGTGAAATGCTTCGCGTTGCACAATGTGGTTGAAGCGTTCAACTCGAAGTTATTACGTGAAGTCAACCTACGCAGACATGACAGCGAGAGCTGATTGGCCAATTCGCTGAACGCTTTGTTCTAGGCGACAGAGCTGATTTTCATTTAGTTCCATCTCTTTTTACGCTTCGGTTTCAATCTACTTTTCTGTTTTAACCATCATATCCGGGTAAAAAATAACGTCAATACGACATAATAAACTTTTTCTCCCTATTCAGAAAATTATTTTTTTCTACTCGTTCATGGATATACCAAATAGGGGGCATTTTAGTCCACGCCCAAGTTTTCTCACCAGGGCGACACTGTGACATCGGTTTATTAGATTAACAAATGATTTCCACTCCAATTTCATGTAACAACAAACTCTTCCAATTACATGATCATCTTTAAGGAAGTTTTTAGCATTTAAAACGGCGTCCTGGAGCGAAAAGTGTTTGATCCAGTCTTACCGGCGAGTTCGTGACCTCTTAAAAGGTTGAAGCTCAAAAACGCTAAAATTATCAGTATTTTGAGTGAAAGAATGTAAGCTATTTCAGAGTACAATTATAGAGATTGGAATGCGAATTGTGTAACCGGAACAGGACTCGGCAAACAAAAAGATTTCACGAGAACTGCAATAAGTGTTTAAAAAACAGGCGATAACGCCACAGCTGGTACTCTGTTTTGTTTTGAAAGTTTTTAAAGCTGAGAGGATATGAAGCAACTCGTCCAATTAAACAGACCGTGAAAGAATGCAACTACACTCCAACAAAGATTCAATTCTTCTCACGTAATGACTGTGAAATGATGACGAAATCCAACAAATAATGTATTCTCAGACGGTATCCATGGCGTCTCTAACAACTTTTGCAATGACTACGCAAAATGTTTTCGTATATATGTACAATTCAACTTTCGAAAAAAGAAAGAGAGCGTCTGAGCAAACTCTCTGATCATGTTGTCCATGCAGTCTCCCTAACTTCTTGGGAATTTTATTTTGTTTGTGATTTTGCTTTGTGATTTTATTGTTTTAGAGTAAAAGGCTAGTACAAACAACTTGAACAGAGGACAATCTGTCCGACTTCTAATTAAATTAGTCGAGTCCAATTATAAAGCAATAACTTGGCTCTCCCTTAAGGTGGACACAAAATATGAAACGACCCGAATACCTTGTTTTCAAAATAGAGGTACCTGCCTCGGAAATGAGTTATCGAGATCTAAATCCTGTTTGGCTGCCACTTGTACATGATAGGTGACAAGGTGTTCTTCGCAGCGGCAAATTGCAGCAGTTGACTGATTTTGACGATTTTAGGCTTCAATACTCGCGAGATTTTCCCTGTGAAACATAAGTTACGCGCTAGTATCAACTGACCTACGAGGCTACTCGTCAGTAACGAGTCACAATTGGCGGATTCTTTATTTCCCTTTACAAGAATATGATAAAAAAAACATCATGAATAATGTAAATCACCCATGTTCGAATCAAGGATGATATCTGACTAAATAATTCCTACAGCTAGTCTGCTCAGAGCAATTGCCGAAACGTACGTATCAAGCCTGAGAAAACAATTGTAGCTTCGGAGACGTCTGAATTCTTTCATTAGGCACTTCAATGTATAATTCTTTCATTAGGCACTTCAATGTATAATTCTTTCATTAGGCACTACATTGCTGTCCAGTCGTGAGCCGGGTCGTTCTTTCCCCTGACCAGTTTACTCTTTTAACTACTTTTAAGGGTAACACAGACAGAGTACAGTATGCAATGGAATGGAATGTTTTAGCGAGAACTGACAAGTTTTCTGATTGTCTACGCCCCAGATTCAAGTGTCTTGCATATGGTTTCAACATGAAGTTGTATCATTGAGTCTCTGTAAAAAAATTATTTGAGAAAAGAGAAAAGTGTCATCACTGTTTTCAGTCTGCTGCCACTGAAGGTACCAGAGGGTTGTCACTGTCTGAGACATTGTTCAACCGCACGGACATGGCAGATTACCAGTGTACATCCTACTGCAATCTTAGGGCCTGTTTACATGGAAGTGGGGGACCACAGGTTGGTGAGGTAATCCGCCTAGCCGAGGTCGATAAAAAGCTCACGTTTACATTTAATCTTACAACCCTGGGATGCCGGGGTAAAGTTTCTCGCGGTTGTTATCGCACTTGTAATTAGGGAGTTTAACGGCGACGTGCAGTAAAACGTTGCCGAAAAAACGTAATCTATTTTCCTTTAAGATTTTTGCCGGTAGCTGGATGCGTTAACCGTTTCTGACGGTACAACGTCCTCACTACGGCATAACATGCGATTGTAGTGTTGGGTTCAAAGTAAAAACGTGACTAAATTGCTGTCGAGGTTTCATTGCTGAGAGGACGTAAAAAATGGTGTTTTAACGTTTTAGCTCTGCATGGGACGGCTAGGAAATGTAAAAATGGCAAATTGTCAGCCCGGCTGACAGAGTTAACATACCAGCAGACCGGGTCACCCCACCTACCATGTAAACGTGATCAAGATAAAATAAGAGATTATATGGAAAGGCGGCCGGGTTACCTCACCAAGGCGGGTAACCTCACCTACCTGGGGTCCCCCACCTCCATGTAAACAGGCCCGTATTTAATCATTTATTTATTTACGCTGCGTTAACAGCAAGTGTTAGCCTCTCACCCTGCGCGGACTCAACAATACTGACTGGGTGGAGAAAGATATCCAGCTGATAATTCTTTGTCTTGTTGATAGATCTGCTAAATATCCAAAAAGCAACTGAAAAAAGTAAACAAGAACCAGTTTACTGTCTCTACTGTGACAAGTATCAAAGTTATTCACTCAATGGACGACATAATCTTCCCTTGTATAGACATAGAACATTTAAGGAAAGGTTTTAGATAAGATGATAAACAACGTCTTCAGTATTGCCGGTTTTTTTTTCTTTCTGCCGTGGCCCCATATTTACTTGATGAGGACAAGATCCAGATACACGAAACGCAATGCAATGCTGTAATGTTAGCTTCAGAAAATGATGGATTAATCCAGTATCTAGCTATATTCAGCACATTTGCGGCAACAAGTCTTAAATTTGACTTGTTGTATTCAAACATGTATTTTAAGGAAAGTCGTTTATTTGAGGATCCTGGCGAATTCTGTTTAGCGCCAATGAAAGTCTCTTAAAGCTACCATATCAGGTTTGAGCCGGCGTTAGCCACTTTTCACTACTCTTCACCCAACAATACTCTTTTCCGTTGAAGGCATTCTGAAAAAGTTATACATAAATTAGCTTGTATATAACAAAGGTCAAGCCTATTTTAAACTCGATTGTCAAAACAATCAATATCTATATCGTTGCTTCGCGTGCGTAATATCGTTGACTATCCTTCAAGCTCCGAGACAAACAGAGAATCTATGCAAGATTCTGCATTTTGGAAAGAGTGAAAAAATGTGAAAAAAGATTGAAACTTGAATTTGGGGATTGAATTTACGAGAAGCACCGCTTACGTGATCTTATCTTGGTTCTCGCTGAGACCAAAGCGGACATCATGCGATTGTGATATTTCGGAGTTAAACTCATATTTGTTTTGGACAGTTGCACTCAGCCAAATCTATCCTCGTTCAACTACTCGTTAAAAGTTTAAAATTAATTCCCCAAGGTGAACTTCCTGTAAGGAGAATATTCTCAATACCCCAGGAACGCCTTAGTAAGTAATCCTTTGTACTAGAAACAGGACTAAGCCATGCAACACGCTCTGCTCACGTTCCAATATTTGCATCGCTGACGAACGTCCTGTAATGAAAACATTTTTAGTACCCAAAGAACACCTCTGTAAATGATCCGTTTTCAAGTAACTGAGACAGGATTAGGTCAGGCAGTAGATCGGTATTGCGTCCGATATTATCACAAAACGTGCACAATTGCAAATAATGTGGCAAACAGCTACGATTAACCGGCCTTTCTCTTGATATATTTAAGGTTACTTCCCACCTTCGGAAGCCGAAAAATCCATTTTTCTTTTATTTGTCTAAATCGAATTTAAAAGTTCAACCTAACGTTTCCATAAACAAATTTACTGAAATCTTTAAAAGCACCCGAGTTAATAAATCAGGAAGGGGTCATAATCTCGGACCTGGGCGAATCCCCTCCTTTTTCATGTTATTTCTATATTTTGTTTACAGCGCGCACTTAACACAATTCACACGTGGAAGCTCTTTGCTTATGGATAAATCTTTGCTCATGGAAAAATCAAAAGTGGAAAAAAGTCCCTGGTAAAAAAATTAAAAAAAAAAACAGACCCAAAGAAGAGAGAAAGAGTACCATTCTGTCAAAAAAGGAAAAAAATTCCTTTTTGAAAACGACTGGTACTGGCGGAGCTCCACGCTGGCGCCCAGATTTCGAACAAAGAAGTCGCCATCAAACCAAAATCTGCCAAACATAATGTTAAAATTACGTTTCCTTTTCTTAATGCAAGAACTAGCCTTATATATACAAAAACAATTAACAATCGCCTCGAATCGTAATGTTGAAAGCCGTCTGTCGATTCGTTGTCCTGCTCCTCAGCACATTCTCCGGTCTTTCCATTTTTGTCGCTACTTTTTCCTATGCCTTAAGAAACTTTGCTCATTATTGTGTCATCCTTCTCAATGCTCTACTGATAGAAACCGAGATAAAAAAAAAAATAATAATAGTGGGTTCCTTTCCCAGGAAATCTTGAACCATCGTCATTGACGCCATTGGTTTGCGGTTTCAGTAGGCGAGATAATCTCCTGGAGTGGCGCAAGTTGTTTGAACCTTTATGAGCAAAAATCTTGCATTTAATTTTGAGAGGATTACAACCACTTTGAGTGAATTTATAGGGTATATAGATTTGACCGATTTTCGTCAAATCTCGCCAAAACATTCCAGGAATAACGACAAACGAAAGTGTGTCGAGAAATTTTGATATTTGAAATATTTGTCCTGTGGCGTCCTTTTACGCAACACGCCTCGCATATTTTTAGCCACTCCAACTTTAGATGCTGATATCTAGACAACCAATCAGAATATCGAAAAAATCTGACACACTATAAAATCGAAAAAACCTGACACACTTTTATTGATTGATGCCTGAGCAGCCATTTTGCTCGTGCTGCAGCATCCGATACCCGACAAATTCAATAGAAGAACCCTCGGTCGTTTCACGCCTTCCCGGTTCCTGACACTTCCTAAAAAGAAAATTCGCTTAAATCATATATTTAACGTAAGATGCAGTTATTAAGCTTTCTTCTGATATATAGTTTGCGAGGACTTTAGTGAAACCAGCGCGCGTATGTTCTTACCACATTTTAACGTCATCTGTGATCTATTACTGAACAGACGCACGGTAACTTGGAATCTATTTGTTAAATAAACAGCGAGTAGGGTGACCACTCAGATTTCAGAATTCATGATCATGGAACGCTGATTGATGTTTACCACTTAAGATTTAATAGCTGTACTTGGTGAATATACTATGATGTTAGTCGTGTGGCACTAACAATGCAACAATATTTAGCGCGTCAAAATTAATTTTATATATACTATGATAATGCATGTTAACTTGTATTGCAGGCTTTGCCATAACGACTCCGGAACACCTATTATTTTCAATTTGCGTTTCAGTTTAATTTGGAACCCTCACTTCTTTACTTCTTGGAATTATGATGGTGCACTATGCGTGAAAAATGTGTGATGTGTCTCTCTAATTTTTTTCTGTGTGTTGCAACGCGGAATTCTTAAGGCCTATTTACACGGCACGACTTTGTCGCATGCGACAAAGTCGTACCGTGTAAATAGGCCCTTAAGCAATTGTCTTTAGTGGACTGCTAGGTAAAAACCGAGAAGGCATGGCCCGACTCGCCATCTCTTATGTACTCCAGTACAGGTATCCAGAAAGAAAGGGCTTATGGGTAAACCAGCTCAGGGTTTCAGTTTAACGTCACGATAGACAATGTTATTCGTGCTTCCTCAAAGTCGCTAAGCATAAGCCAATGGAACACCCACAGTTTCAGCTTTTGTTTCCACTTTGTCTTCTATCACTAGAGAGTGTCAGATGTCTTTCTACAATTTCATGAACCTCTCTTCATTCAAACAAATAAAAAGACCGTGGACTGGAATGTCCGCTCTTGCTTTTGTTTTGGTTATAGTTCATATTAACCTGTTGCTGTTTTTTAATTTTCACCATTCATCGACACACCTAAATTCTTTGTTTTGAACAGAGTTTGAAACAAAAAGTTCTCAAGACATGCCAAAGTGATAAGGAAATCGGCAATCAGTTCCAGGGAAAGGAAATAAAACAGTCCTGAAAATAAACCTCAGCTGTGCTACAAAAATGAATGTGGCTCTCGTGGTCTTCGCAATGCTTCTCGCTGTAATTTTCAACGCCTGCGATGGCGCCGCCAAAGGTACGAACAGTGTTTGATGCGGTTAAATCATTGGTTTTGACTGCGACAATTTCTGTGTTTACTTGTGACCTCATGTTTAACATACCAACTTTTAAAAATTACTTCCCGTCAGAATGATGACTCTTTTTCGACATTTGTTCCATATACAAAAAAAAAGATTTCTTCTGATCTTTAATAATCTGTTTGTTTCCTTTATTTGAATTGGCCCAGGCGTAAACTAAGCAAGTAACACTCTGTCGACTGGCAGTACCTGTAATAGTCCGGAACAAATTTCATCCTACAAAAATTGAATTCTGCTGATTCTTTTCCATAAATTTAAAAAGGCGTTTTATGCTGTTTCTTTCTCTAAAAAGAGACTAATTTCTTTAGTCTTGTACCTTGAGTGATTGATAAGTCACCAAGATCGGTTGCCTCGCTCAAGTTGTTTTTTTTTTACGCTCGATGGTGTCCACAAGGGTCGCCACACATGAGGGGAAAACTCCATGGAACTGGTTCCCGCAATTCAGCCAGTTCTTTTAAAATTTGATCAAAACATTAGGAAATTTTAAGCATAGAGACCCTGAGAAGTTGCAGCAATAAGGCTTTTTTTCTGAAAACAAACTAAATCTACTTAAAACTTGGCTTTCGATTCTTCTTCAAGGTGTCAGAGCAAAAGGCGTAGAACACAAAACAAAGCTACATCGTAAGATTTTCCATCATCCGCATCATTACCACCACCACCATTACCACCCCCACCACCCACATCATCATCATCATTATCACGGTCATCATCGTCATCATTTACACTACCACCATCATCACCCTCACCATCACCATGACAACAGACCAAAGCATCACTATCATTACCACCGACATTATCATCACCATCACAACCCATTGCATCACCATTTCCACCAACACAACCATTTCCACAAAAACCCTGTTCATCATTATCATCATAAACACTCCTTCCAGCCTCATCACGGTTCGGACAAGCATCACCAAAGTCACCGTCGAAGCGATATCTTCCATGTTTCTGGTGTCTTACCTACTAAGCTGAAACTACACGTGCAAGTTAAAGATATGCAAGCGACAAAGCGACAGTCTTTGCCCAATTTGTTGGCCAACCTTGGCCAGCATCTGATGAACCTGGGAAGCAGTTTGTCACCAAGAAAATCGCAGATGGAAACTCCTTCCCCTTTGAATGGTAAGCTGTAATAGGAAACCAACAATTGTCCGCAAATCTATTTGGTTGCAAGTTTCCTCCATTCAGTGGATGATTTTGGACTATTGATTAGGGGTTGTCTATTTACATAACCAAGAACAACAAAGGAAGGCACAAAATTCGGTTCTTTTTACCTTGTTGCAGAAACCCATGATGATAAAGTTGGAAATGAAATATCGGAAACAACTTCAACTGAAGGCAATAATTTCATAGAAGATTCATCATCAACACCAGCTGCTGCTCCGGAGGGCTCGCGGAAAAGTGTTTTGTCAGTAACTAACGCTGAAGCTCTCTTACACAAAGCCCTCGACGCAGCGAGCAGTGATCATAACAAGGAGAGTGGTTTCTCTGGAAATGGTGAAGCAAACACAGTAAGTGTCTTCTTCCCAACGGAAGATCAATAAGTAAATGCGTTTGATATTTTAATGTAAGAGCTTGTGATTGACATAAACCAATTTTTGGAGTATGAGGTTTCAATTAAGCACATCTTCATGCAATTCCCCAAAAATCACCTGACAGTTATCAAATGAACCTGTAACTGTTTTTTCTCCTTCAGTCAGATGCTACTTCCACAAAAGACCTCAACAGTGACGAAGGAAAAAAGGCAGACAGAAGAAATGAAACCTATTCGGAGCACGAGATGTATGGTCCTATAGAGAAACAAGAACACGAAGTATCTAATGATACCATCGAGGACTCTGATGAACAACGACTTCATGAGATAGACGATATGAATAACAAATATCAGCTTAAAGACCGACAAGCTAGCACAAAGAGAGAGGACAAGCTTCTCGTACAGGGGACCGATCCAAAGAATGCCGCATCCAAGAAAGACATTTTAACAGACGATGAAAACACTATCTCCCTAAGAAAAAAGGAAAAAACTTTTGAAAATGGCATTGACAATGCATCATTACGCCTGGATAGTGCATCGTTACCTGAGGAACCCAAAAGCTTGGACAGGAACTCAACAATGGACGAAAATGACCGTCACATTGTCGAGGTTGCTCCTGAATCTTATGCAACGTTGACAGAATCAAATCAATCAGCCACTACACCAGAGAGTGATAGTCGAGACATCAAAGAAGAGAAAGAAGAGAATATTGAAACGTCAGGGAGTGGAGACGATTCCCTCGATGATGTGCGAAACAATGAAGATGCCAGTGAAGACGATTACAAAGAATTTGAAGAAGAAAGTGGCTCGGGAGAAGAACCTACTGAAGTTAAAATCGTTGATGTAAGTGAAAGAAAGACATCCGTAAAGGACACTACGATGCACTCTGATTTTAGCGGATCGAATGAAGGTGTTAAAGAGCCCTCGGATCAGCCCGCGGTGGTGAATGTTGCAGGAAATCAAACTATGGGAAACCAGAGCGAAGAGGCATTTTATTCAGACTCGACAGAGTCTATCGAACCAAAGAATGAGAGTCACACAAGCCAATCTCTAAGTGGTAATGATTCAGAGAAGGCAATATTTTCAGTAAGTAGTGCTGTAAAAGATGCAACGATTTATGATAGCAACCCTCGGGAGAACCTGGATTCCGGTGAAGCCCCGCCAAACAAACAAAGTCAACCGGCATCGTACGGAATAGATAATGGATCACGAGCAGCCAGCTTTACTCAGGGATCTCTAGAACAAACTGAACAAACACAGGCCATAAATTCACAGAACGACCAAAATGGAATTTCAGATGAACCTAAGACTCCGGCTGTCATAGATGGCCCTGCAGAGCCTCCTCTGACCAATATTGCTTATCCAACAGTGGTGAATGTAGATGGATCTCAATTAAATGATTATCACGAGGATGCGTCCCAAGATATAAGTCTCGAAGATAATTCGGATGAGATTCCCGTCTACACCTTATCGTCGCCAGTAGGTGACGATTCACTGGCAGAGGATGAAACCACCTTGTCGTCGATGCCTGCGTCTTCCGTTAACACGGCGTCAGCTGACATCAGTGACTCAGGGGCAACTATGTCCCCAGGGTATTCAGAATCATCGCTGTCATCTGAGGGATACAGTACGTTTCCCACTGCAACTGCACCATCTGAATTCGCAAACAGCACTTTAGCAGAAGAAGGTAGGTAAACGACACCTGGGCATCCTTTTAAAATTGACTTTCAAGAAAGCGGTAAATGAAATGGAGTTATAGTGTAATCGTCTGGGTTGCAGAATGGAACAAAGTAAATATTCTGAGTCTTTATGAGGAAACGAACCTCAGACCTTCCGCGCTCCGATACTCTACCACTGGGCCACAGAGACTCTATTATGAGCGATCAGCGATGTCGATCACGTCGTTTTTAAATTGTAATGGGCCTCGCTCACCATAGAGTCTCTGTGGCTCAGTGGTGGAGCATCGGAGCGCAGAATCCACAGGTCTGAAGTTCAATTCCTCATGGGAACTCGGAATCTTTTCTTTATCCCATGCTCGTAACAAGACGAAAAAAATGTTTCATTATATTTTTTTACCGAGCTCAAAACTTACTATCTGTCCTTCTCTATTTACAAAAATGACGCTATCGACATCGCTAATCCTAGCAGTATGCACCATAATAATGGCCAATAATGACACCCCTCGACACTACTCTTACTCAGACCGAAAAAGTGATTTATATTAATTTAATGAAAACCTCTGGATTTTCTATATAATCATTTATTTCAGTCAGTCATCTAAATATTTAAGCATGATAGTTTTGGTCAAATTGTCTAAGATGATACAAAAAAAGGAAATTAAAAAAATATGCGCACTTGAAATAATGTTCTTTGGACCTCCATAGAAAAAATAAGGATTGATTCTCGAAGACTGATGGACCTTACGCTGAAGGGTTGTTTCAAGGTAGACTTGAGGGTGCCCTTGTCATAAACATTACCCATATATTTAAATCATTTCTCTTAGGTGGTTTTCAAAGAGACATGCTTGATGACCCAGTACAGGAGTCTCTAGAAACAGTTGTTGATAGCAAATCGAGCTAAAAGCAAGTGGTAAGTGCCCTAAATGATAACTATCTTTAAATGTCTAGGATGCATTTCGATTGAGTGTGGTACGACTTACACCAAAGCAATTGGAACTGTCGATAAGAACAAAGAAAGAGATCAAAAGGAGTCAATGAAGTCGCACCCAAAATCAAGGAATTTCCTCATGCTACAAAGAACTCGTTCGTGAGCTGGGAACCATACCAGATTCACCATCTTCCTTATCTAACTGCAGATTATAGAAATGCTATGTGACACTCTGTTCTTTAATTTTTATTTGTAGATGAGCAAAGTGGCATGAAATTACATTGGTAACATTACAAGCAAATTTTTTCTGCCAAAAAGAAACTTTCCTACAAGGTTCTGATTAACATTTCCTGATATCATTGCCCGACAGGGACAAGATTTTTTAAAAGCTGTTGTTTACCGCTCTTCATGACTAATTGTTATTTAATTCTAAGTCCACCATTGTAATTTTATATTCATTTTGATAATGTAGTCGGTAAGTGATCTCTTTGGAGGATTGGTTCTGAGAACTGTATAGAGTAAGAAAAACGTAGAACCACAAAGAGGTATTTTGTTCCGTTTTGCTCCGTTATAGTTTTGTCATTTCTTCATACTTTGAAGCAAAAAAAAAAACGTTTCTTCGTAGGGTTTTCCATAGCAAACATAGGTACTATACGGTTATGTAACTATACAGGCTGACTACTTTGTTTCTGCTGGTGAAGTACATGTTAAACTGTAAGGTTACTTTACGTTTGAAAGTTGTACTTACCTAGAGACTTATGTATATACATCGCTATATAATCTTAGGCGTAATTGATATGTTACTTGTTTAGGGATATATCTTTAACTGCATCAGTTTAGCCAGCTACTGTATAGAATATTCACGAATAAAAAGTTTTGAAAAAAGTAAAACTCCAAGCTCAGTGATGGTATGCGACTTCTCTGCCAATCTCACACAAAGGACTCTGGAGAACTCTGAAGTTTGAATTTAGGAATTCCTCAGGTATTGAAACATCAGAGCTTTTAAGGGGAAAGAGACCTGAAGTTGAACACTCATTCTTCGTCTGAATGGCGAGCTTTATTCAAAATTGCCTTCGGTTTCATTACCATCTGGTTTCGGGAACCTGAAAAAAATTTATTCAACGCCTAAATCGGGTCGAAACGTTGGGTCTATGAATTGCAACTTCTTCGGTTACATTCACTAAATCTGTAAACCAGAGCAGCATCAAACCATGTCTGATTGTCCACCTGGTTGCCATGTGAACTTTAATATAGCCTAAATGAGAGTTTGACGAACACGTCTCTCTCCTCAAAACTCCACGAAGGAAGTCCAAGCTGAACCAAGGTTGCAATTTTTATGTATCATTACATGTCTAGATAGCATCATACATGAGGTTATTATGCTTCACTTGCCGAGGTGCAGGTACCCGTTGATCTTCAGCTGGTAAGACAAGGAAAACAGTTTGGAACATCAGATTTGTTTCACTTCCTGACTATGTTGGCCATGCATCTAAGATTTTATCATTGCAGCCTCCCTATGTAAAACGTTTGATTTGTTTGCACGAAAATAAAGTCTGGTATAGTACTTTAAGGAGACAAGGAGAGACAACTCAGCAGAGCGGTAAGAGATAAAATGGCCGAGAATCAAATCCAGACCTCCTCCATGGGAAGATACAATTCTACCACTGAATCACTTCTGCTTGTTGAAGATTGAAAGCTCATGTTAGCCAGGCTGAGAAAGTGCTCTCGTGAGCACTTTACCTCGGTATGAAATTTAAGGTCGAACCTCAGTCATCTCCCCTTGTATTAATAGCAATCAGGCGGAAATTTGCTAAACTCAAAAGGAGGCAAATTCATCCCCTCACAGGTCCAGATCGGTGGCTGAGCTTTAAGGGAACAAACCATGTAGATCAAGGATTGAATGAAAAGTTACTTTTCTTACTCGTTGATAGGTCACGTAAGTCATTTGGGGGGAAAGGAAAGAGAGTGATTTTTTTAAAGTTTCATGTCAAAGCCATTGTGCAAACAACAAATCTAAACGCACTATACTATTTCTATGCACTTTCTTCAAACAATAAAAACTGATTTATTTTCGCAATACCAGCATACAAGTTTATTTCTAATACAATGTATAAAGTGATTTTAACAAATTAACCATTTCTCGGTAATGCATGTTGAAATAATTTGCCTTCGACGTTTCGATGTTTCTATTTAAAAAAAAACTGACATAAATTCAGTTGATTTTTCTCGGGCACACCTTAATCTCCCCATTAATAGCGTTTCATCCTTCCAAGTTTCATGAGATCAACTATTGCCATTTTTTCCATGATACTTTCGATTTCTTTACATTTGAGCTCAGCTCTTTTCTGAACAACAAAACTGTTTTTCTTCGCAAACAACTTTTCACATCTTAAAACGTCGATCTATGTAGGTTCAATTGTAAATACATCGTTTAGTTACTCAAAATAGGAATTAATAAGCAGACCTGCTGCTGTTTTTGAGCATGAAGCCAATAACCCAGTATCTGGCTTGGTGACCAATTATTTGTAAAAAAAAAAAAATCTATTTACCAACTTGTAAATGAAGTTGAAAGATCGCATAGCGCTTTTCCGTTTAGAAGGGGCCTTCAATGAAGATAACAGACTCAGTAGGGACTGGAAGCAAACCAGATTTGAAAACAAGGTTTATGAAGATATTAAAAAAAACATGCAATTATGTACTAGGACTTTTCGCAACAAATTTTTGTCTCAGCGCATACTAATTTTTGCTGAACTAGAAATAAAAACTGTCTTATCATAAGATTCGTAGCGACGTGTCAAGAGGATTCAAAGATAAAAGCAGGCAAATAGAAATCTATTTACATTTAAAAATTTTTCATTAGCCAAAAATTCTACGTAGTTTAAAATTTAATTCATGAGTGTGGGCAGAGGGGAAAAAGAGGGTTGATTAACGCCTTTCTGTCATTTGGGGGCACTCCGAAATATCAATCGCTGTGAACTGAAACAAAACAAAAAAAAGAAAAAAAAAAGAAAAAAAAAGGAAAAAAGAAGGAAGTCTCTTTCGCCCTGGCGTACGAAAAGTAATTATGATCTATTTCCTGCGATCAAGACCTCCGCCTCTTCCCCTCCTCTCCGGCTCGTCTTCAGGAGTGTCTTAGGCAAAGAGAAAATTTATAAATATACATATATATAAGGCAAAGATACGTAGATATTTTACAGTTGGTCAGTGAGAAGAATAGGGATACGGAGTGAAGTCTACATGTGAATGCGAGTCGCTGGATGGTTGTCTTGTGAAACATCCTTGGCACTGAGCTGACGCTGGAAACTGACCAGAACTGTAGACATATCGTGGCTGATACATCAAGGAAATACCTTGTGCAGGTGCAGGTAGCGCCGCTGGCGAGGTGTGAGAGCCTTCCCGTGCTTCTTTGCGCCACTTGAATCGTCTGTTCTTAAACCATGACTGAAAAATGAGAGACACGAAATGACGAGCAAATCACCTAAAGTGCATTGGAATCAAACTGTAATAGGGAGCGAGCAAAAAGCAAACGTGAATTATAAGATTAAGATTATTATAATATAAATCTCCCATATGACCTAGCTCACCAACGAGGTTTTATCAAAGGGGGGCATCCTTTGGTACAACCCCTCCCCCCTGATGGGATAACACACCCCCTGGTATCCCATCCAGGGGGGAGACGTAATACTCCTAGTCACCTCATGCCATGGAAACCACGATTAGTTCTGGTTGGGTGGCCCTCTTGGCTTGAGTGCAGACTGTACTCTTGACTGTGCACTTTACCTAAAGTCCGAATCTTTGCGGAGGACAAAGATTTCTCTGTGCATGGCTGGTTCTGAATGAATGATATCTAATTTCTATATTTCAAAGCAGTCATGTTAATTACCTGCACAGCGACAGGTTTGACTCTGAGTCTCGAAGCCAAAGCCATCCTTTGGTGAGGAGTCAAGTAAGGTGATGCTGAAAAGGCCGCCTCCAGTTCTGCTCTTTGATAAATTGTGAAACGAGTGCGGCATGCTCGCTTCTTGATCACCTCGACGGTTGGAGAAACTTGTCCGTGTTTCACTATATGAGAATGGAACAAAGGACAAAATTTATTCAGAACTCATTAATTTTCGCGCGATTTTATTGGCTCCTTCACGTCACGTGGTGCAAAATCAATAGACCCCGGACAACATCAATATTTATCATCCGTTTATTTCCGTCGGAAAGAAAAAAAATAGAGAAAAAAGCGTAGCTGTTTTTCCAGAATGTGAAAGAAGAGCGCGAAAAAATATGAATAAATGACTCTCCAAAAATAAAACTCAGTAGATGATATTCCAGCCACCATTCTGGCGTTCCGGAAGCTTGTTATTTTTTTTCTTTTACCATGAATCAAGACTCAGAGATGAGAAGGAACAAGAAAAACTCTCAATTTCCTTCATGCAGGCGTAAAATTAATATGCACTCTATTTCGAGCGTGTAACCTAAGAGAGTATCTCTGATGAGCAGTTTATACGAAACGCTGATTACATAATTTCTAGCTTCACAGTCGATCATTTTTACCGGCATACCACTATTTTAGACCGAAATTCACTGGAATAAATTTTTATGGTTCATTCCAAACAGTTTACCGGAATCAATTTTGAATAATTTTGTGTCGTCTCATTCCGTAACTTCAAATTCTGTTAGTGCTTAAGATAGAGATGGTCTGATTTCGAAAGGAGGCATTACCGGCAAAAGTATGTTAATCAAAGAACCTCTGAAATTTTACTTTTGTTAAATTGTCCCTTTGTAAAAATCGAACCGTTTTGTCTTATTAGGCAGGCTGGAATTCTCACAGGTTTCCAATCAGCTGCGATCGAAACGAACAGCTTTGAAAAGCAAGCTTAAAAAAACAAGACAAAAACAGTGATAGTATGTAAAGTAAGAATATTACTGATATTTGCAAGTACTGGATGCTTTCTCCATGAAAATTAACTGACTCAAGATAACTGCCTTTTTTACCTCTTATGTAATCTCCCCGAGAAACTGCAAATTTATCAGGAAAACGCTTCTCCTTCAATCGTTCAGTGTGTGAAGCTATTTCGTCGCGAGAAACTCTCAAGATTCGATGTATTTTTTGCACTCACTGCCTAAAACGAAATCCAGCGCCCTAAAATTGTGTGATATCTAGATACCTTTTTCTCTCAATAAACTAAGTTTCTTCCTTGACCATACAAACACACCAAAATCATGGACAGCTCTCCTCTTGCCTTCTTTTTTCTTGAAATCGCAGGCTTTAAAATGAAATTATAAAAATATGTCGTTTCTCTATCGGTGTGGAACTCGGAAACTTACCCGGTTGAACGGTTGGAATCTCTGACGATTCTTGCCCCTCATGTTGGGAAGGTATTTCCTCTTTAATCAAAAACGGTATAACCACCTCTAGAATTGGAGGAGACTCAGGCCTGAAAGTTTGTTCCATTATTCTTGAGGATGTAAAAGAGTTTGTCGATGTTGCAGTGTGGACTGAAGTTTGTGTGAACTCTTAAAAGACGACAGTTATCCGTTCTGGTGTATCATGTTGCCATCGACAACTTACCAATTCTATGACGTAGAATCAGTTACAGTCTTGCGAAATATCAACGTCACACATCCTTTTGTTGCCGCTAATAATCGTTCGCCGATCAATTCTTCATCCTGACTTTATGTAGGCTTTAATTAGTAGTTAGCGCCTTCTCTAACAGTCGACTTTGCGCGTCAAGAATAATAGGGGTAAGTTTCTAAAGACATTGTGGTGCTGCGTCAGTGGAGGTATTACAAAATAATTGGTTTCATTTTATTTAAGATAGTTTAAATCGTCCATCGTTGAGAGTTTCTAAAGCTGCTGTTTAGAGCGATAGCCCTTGGTGAGCGAGCGGGGTAGTATTTTTTCGGATATGAAGTGTGTTAGACGAATAAGATCCTCTTTCCTTGGTACCTATGATGAATTGCCGCAGGAAGGTGTGAGTTATCAACTCTCAATGAATGTGACTCATGCAGAAATTAATATTATTTTACTATATTACTTTAGAGTTACCGTCAAGACCCACGTCTCTGATAAGCTCATCCCCAGGGTCTCTCCTCTTTACGATGTCACGGTGGTTTTTGGTATCTCAGTACCCAAATCACAAGTGTTTGGGTATGAGGAGCCATTTGTGCCAAAAATACCAATCGCTAGTGATAATACTCAATCGTTAGTGCTAAAATAACAACCGCTAGTGATAAAACTCAATCGTTAAAATAACAACCGCCAGTGATAAAACTCAATGGTTAGTGCTTGCAACAAATCGTAATTGTAAATCAATCTAGTTTCCGTTCTAAAATGGTCAATTGTTAGTGCTGAACCTCAATCGCTTGTGTTGTTGCCCCAAACGCCGTTGACATAAATTAAAAGCGCTAATTATAAATCGCTGGTTTTCTGAGGTAGATCGATAGCACTAAATATCAATCTATCGATAGTGTCAAACCTTTACGGCTTGTGTTATTTGTAAAACACAGAAATTGTAGCGATGCCAATCGTCAGTGCTGCCACCGATCGTTTGAGATAAGTAGAAATCGCCTCCGCAAAACATCAAATGTCTTTTATTTTCCTGCTTCGTAACGAGCACAAAATGGCGTCGCCATCAAATTATAATTGCTTCTCGGAGGAACTACAATCTTTCATGAAAGTGGTAGATACGATTTTGCGCCAGAGCGTAGCGCATGAGGGATTCAGGATTCTGGATTTGTTTTGCGCTTGGTAATCAGCCTTCAAAACGCTTCTACTTTTTGCAGTGTATTTTAAACGACGAAAGTCATAGTGGCAACCACAGGCCAAGTCATTTTCTGCGATTTCAAACATTTTTCTGAACTTCACAAAGAATCTTGGATCGCAAATTATTTTGGGGCTTTTAGTAAGTCATTTGTGGAGACAGTGATCTAATCAGAATTTGTAGTTGATTTTTTTTAGATTTACAATAACTTTTCGATGAGGATTTATTAAAAAGAATTTATATTCAAAATTTTTTTGGATTTCAACGTCCTTTATCAGATTGCAAGAAAGTAAGCAAGGTCAGGAGCCCATCACTGCGCTCCTAGCAAGGTTTGATTGGGTTATCTTGCCAAACAAGCGGGAGACTGGTTCAAGTTAGAATCGGTAACAAATCGATACTAGCACGACAATCTATGTTTTGCGGTAGCGATTTTCTATTTTTCACAAACGATGGGTGGCAGTGTTCGATAGACATCGTTACGATGGCTGTATTTTAAAAATAACACAAGTCATAGAGGTTTTACACCATCGTCAGAGCACCTGCATTTTACAATAAGCGCTTTAATTGGAGATTAATTGGAGAACGGCGTTTGGTGCAATAACAAAAGCGATTGAGGTTCAGCACTAACAATTGACCATTTTAGAACGGTAACTAAATTGATTTACAGTTACGACTTGTTGCTAGCACTAACGATTTAGTTTCATCGCTAGCGATTGATATTTTCGCACAAATGGCCCCCCATATTTGGGGTATCCACTCTTAGGATGCCCATAAGACTAAAAAAGAGGAGAAAAGCAGACTGGGGAAAGAAAAATAGCATATCAGATTGACCTCTCCTGTCGTAAATACGTAGAAATCAAAGATTACCAGATTTGTTGAACCAGTGAACGCAAGTTTTGGGTTTACCCTAAGTACTGACTGGCAGAAGAGGTGTTGTAACTTAGAAGGCCTGGTTACCCAAAAAACATGGCGGAAAGTTTTGAAAAAACGTGTCCTTTACGAATTGTAATATTGCCAAATTGTGACAAAACTACCGACATGCTATACTGAGAGAGAAATCCAATCCAGATTTCCTTTTTTCGAGAGAGCAAGAAATTGCAAATCTATCATAGGTAGAAGTTGTGGAGGTTTGATGTGGAAATCTCAACGCCGTGTTGTTGTTACCGGCCTTGGTAAGCCCCGTGTCTTTCTATTTCCAAATCCTCCTTTGATCGATCCTCTCTGAGGTGAAGTATGGCAGTAGATTACAAACGCTGGTGTGAGAGGAACATAGTGGAGTAAAGTGTTGTGGAAGTCTAGGTCGGATACTGATAGAATTTCATTTTGGGAAAGGGCAAAAACCATCTTAATGTTCCTTCTCTGCCACTTCTCAATAACAGAAAAATTCAAAACTATTGATGATTTGATGAAGTAAACCCCAATACCAGAAAATACCAAAATTAATGGTAGTGCTGTGAGAAGAGTAAATTATATTTGAAACAGCTAAAGATTTGACGATTAAAGACAGATATGTAATTATTAGGAAGATCATACTATGGGCACTCTGGAGAGATTCCTGTTAGATTTGACCGATAAATGCAAAGCCAAAATTAACCACAGGTAGCCCAACCTCGGTGTGTGAAGTTTCAGTCATAACTTATTCAATAATGTTGCTTTTATGCATCAAAATTATGAAACAGAAGTGAGGTTTTAGTTTTCGTTCAATAATTTGCTACTCCTATTGTAAGTACTCTTAGCATTTTACATTATAAATGAACACTGATTGCCATCAAACTGCACATTGGGCATGGAAAGATTAAGACCTCAAAGTTGCTGGTCTTTATTTGGGCATCAACATATTTATTTTAGGTTTGAAGTAAATTTTCGTTAAAAAAATCCATAAGTTATTGGTTGGTGTTTTATTGATGAAGAGCAATCTTGTTTAACTTTGATCCCTAAGAGTGACTAGTATCTAATTTCTCCTTACAATATCACAGCTAAATCACACATTAAGGTCATGAGATCAAAGGAAATGATCTCCAACCCAAGAATCTCTTGATTGTTAGCACCTTAGTAGCACCTCAGGAAATGTATGAAGGACAGTATGGAGAATATGCATACTGATGTTGGGGTGTAAAGGGTTAAATGAGCTTGTGTCACCTGTGAATGAACTGAATGTTGGTATCCCTGCAGGTCTTGTTACTCCTCTTGGGATTGGCACAACCAGAGTCTGGGAAAACTTATTGCAAGGAAAATGTGGAATAACACAAATTTATGATGAAAGTATGAATTATAGTTTCCTATATTATTCTTTGCACCAAAATTATTTGAAAGATGAAACTAAAATCTATGGTATATTCTTATGAAATATTTTGTTTTTTCATGGTAGAGTTCAAAGGAATTCCAGCCAAAATAGGTAAGCATATAAAACTCTTTCTTTTAAAATATGTTATGGCTTCAGTGTATTCTAGACCCTAAATTGTCAAATTTGCTCTGAAAAACTGAAATGACAATACTTTTTTTAATCTAACAAACAAGAAATAAACTTCCATATGCAATTAGTTTAAACAGAGAGAATTTGGTATTACAAAATTAAACTGAAATGCAATGCATCTTGAAAGGAATCAAACAAACAAATTTGATAACACTGTGAATCCCATTGGTTCCATTTTAAATTTACAATAATGGTTTTTTTGTTCATTTATTTATTTAAATTTCAGCTGCATTTGTACCAAGGGGTACAAACCCAGGAGAATTTGACAGGAAACATTGGGAAACAAAACTTAATGTGGTAAGTTAAAGAGTCATCAGCATGGTATGTTAATAAAGATAGTAAGGATTATTAATTAGTCTTACTAATTAATTACATTTTAAAAAAATCAGTTATGGAAGTGTAATAATTTGATGGATAAAGATGGGGTATTTTTCTCCCCTTAGGACAGACGAAGTACCACAACAGAAGGCCTGTTTGCATTAGTTGCTGCATATGAGGCTCTAGAAGATTGTAAATGGAAACCAGTTATGCAAGAACAAAAAGAAAGAACAGTAAGTTAAGTGCTTCTACTTTCACAATCATACCATTGTTAGCTGGTCATCTCTCAGGAGTCTCCTGTTAAACTCAATTATTGATGTCATAATGCTACACTGGCAATTAAAACAAATTGAAAATAATTGGCCACCAGTGCATTAATCAACTGTTAACCTGATCAAAGTCACCTCCTCATCATTGTTATCTCAATGAGATTTTTCATTTTGTTTTTATCCCTGAATATTTCATTTATTTAACTTTCAGGAGTGAGAAATGGCCTTAACCCTCTAACTCCCATGAGTGACCAAGGCAGAATTTCTCTTAACAATATCAATACAATATCAAGCACTGGCAAGTGATGAGAATAAAGAAAATTGTCAATTAGGAGATTATTAGTTGATCCCAAACTAAATTCTCAAAACTAACATTATATAAATTGCATCACAGACAGTAAGAAGAATTACTAATGAGATCTTGGCAGTGGAAAGATTAATTGAAAAATAGTAGTTGACTCCTTCCTGATAACAATAAGCACTGTGAGGGAAGTTTCAAGGGATGGTGGATTTGAACACCAGACTTATGATTAAAAATGATCCTTTTATCCTAGGGTGTGTCTATTGGGATGGCAATGACAGGTCTGAAGGACATACTGCAAGAGGGCGATACACTCAACAATCAGGTCAGATTTAAGAACAGGGCCTTGTTGTGCGAAGAGTGGATAATGCTATCCACTGAATAATCTCTGTCTGATGGATGGGGCTCAACATTTTGTTGGCAAGATATGGTCTTCTGCTCTTTGAACAAGAGTGAAGGCCATTAAGTCAACATGTTGAGTAATGTTGCAAGATGGACACTAAAGATGTTACTTAAGGATGTTCACATTGAATTGATGATGCTGATCTAAACTTTTGTGTACTGTTAAATGTAAGTCATAGACAAGGGCTTGTCATGTTTATTTTGAATTCATTATTTTGCCTGATATATGAAGCAAAGCTAGCAAAATTCAAGTAACTTACTAGATACTGTGTTTTATAACCAACACATTTATGAAATTTTGCAAACCCTTTTTTTTTGCATTTTTAAAAGAAAGATAGGTATACCATTGATATTTTCTGACTGGGACTGACAGGGAGCAACTTTTTCAGGGCTATCGAAGAGTGAGTCCATTTTTTGTTCCCAGAGTTCTTCATAATTTGCCAGCTGGACTTGTCAGTATGACATTTGGGCTTCAGGTTAGTTTCTTTATATTGCTCAGTGAAGTTTAACCCTTTAACTTTAAAGTGACCAAGACAGAATTTCTCCTTACATTATTAAAACATTATCAAGCAGAAAAGTGATGAGAATAAAGAAAAATATCAGTTAAGGGATTATAAGTTGATCCAATACCAAATTCTGCAAACTAACATCACATGAACTGTATGGCAGACAGTAAGGAGAATTACAAATGAGATCTTGGGAGTTAAAGGGTTACCAACTGGTGTTTGTGTCACAGAGTCATGTTTTCTGTTCACTCAGTGAAAGTCAGCACTCAAGACTAAAGCATACAGATCTTACCTCTGTATCTACATTATGAGTTCCATTAAAGTATTTCATCTCCCCACCTGGATGGGAAGTTTGACAAGTTGTAAACTTATTCTTTGGTATTTTGTTATATCACCCCATATATTTTGGAAATATCTACTGGTATTGCTTCTCCCAGAAGGAGATCAGGGACCATAACCTTAACCCTTTCACTCCTAAGAGTGACAAGCATATAATTTCTCCTTACACTATCAGCCTTGAATCACACATTAGTGTCATGAGTATGAAGGAAATTATCACCAACTAAAGAAGATCTTCATTAGCAAGCAATTTTTTTCTTTGGCACCTAAAGAAATGTATAGAGAACAGTTTGGAGAATGGGCAAACTAAAGTTGCATTGTAAAGGGTTAGGTTACTAACCCTGGAATTTTACATGATGACCCTGGCTGGAGCTCAAACTGGTACTTTTAGATTCAGAGACCTGTGTCCTCCACTATTTATCTCCACCAGCTCATGCAAGAGTCTCTTCTTTCTTTTCGTAGGGCCCCAATCATGCAGTCTCCACTGCATGTGCAGCCAGTGCGCATGCTATTGGTGATGCTTTCAGAATGATTCGTCATGGTGATGCTGATGTGATGGTTGCTGGTGGCGTGGAAGCCTGCATTCTCCCCTTAGCCATGGCAGGCTTTTGCAAGTATGAATTTGGCCACATCAGGATTTGATTTCAGATTTTACTTAAATTATATCACACCTATTAGCAATTTTATGAGAGTCATACCATACTGTTGTATTACAAAATAAATGACAGGCATGTTGGTGTGCCAGTTGATTCCCTGTGTATGTCTCTCTCATGGCACTTATTGCATCAATTTCTTTTTTTAAATGTCAATTAGAAATGTCTGCTACATTGAAATACCAGACCACATTACACTACTAAAAACGATTCTTAACATTTTCTGGAGTGTGAATTCATATATAAATTATATTTATGTCCTGCATCCAGAATGCGTGCCTTGACTACCAAATTTAATGAAAAACCTCATGAGTCGTCAAGGCCATTTGATAGAGACAGGAGTGGCTTTGTGATGGGGGAAGGTGCAGGGGTCATGATATTGGAGGTAAGCTGCACTTTCTCTGTTTGAATTCATCAATTGCTATCTGTGGTGTTTCCTTCAAACATATCTGTCATGAATCTATGGCCCTCTGATGAGCAGTACCTGAATAGTTTTTCATGTATGAAAACCCTGCAAAAAAGTCTGTCCCCTGAAGTGGAACTTTGGTACGTTTGGTGCTTGTTTCTCCAAAACTTTTAAGCCTGAGTTTCTGTAGCTGCTCTTTTTGCAAACGGGACTGTTTATTGTCCCACTCCACAGTTAAGCTGCCTAGAACATGGACATTCTACCATGAGACCCTTTTAAAACACTTCGTTTGTTTCCATTCTACTTTCAGCAATATGAACATGCTGTCAGCCGTGGTGCTCCGCTGTACGCGGAACTTGTTGGTTACGGTCTTTCAGGTATTACATTTTTTCCAGTTGATGTATTTGCTATTTCCTAGATAGTTTATGTTTTACTGTACTAGCTCTGGAGCGTCCTTAGCTTTTCATCGGGTCTCATCAGACATTTCAACCGTTTTTCAACGTCTCTATTTTCCCCAAGTATTCAACTGTGCTTTTAACTGCATATGCGTTTCCTCCGCTATTCACTGACCGCTTGTTTTCCGCGCTTTTGCTCAATCTCATTTTATGCCTCAACTTTACCCTTCACAATTCTATAATGTAGTGACTGACACATTGTCTATTCTCGCGACTGATCGTCCAGTAGAACTTGTAATTATGTTTCTATTTTCTAAGAATTAGATTATTTAAGTGTCTTTCAACCGGCGTTGTGTATAAATTTGCTGAAACTAAGACGTCGTTCTTGCCTTTGATTTTTTTCAGGGGATGCCTATCATATTACAGCCCCCTCAGAGGGAGGACATGGGGCATACTTGGCGATGAAGAACGCTCTGAAAGATGCTAATCTCAACCCAGAGGATGTGAATTACATTAATGCCCATGCTACTTCTACTCCACTTGGTATGAGGCAACGACACTTGAGTGCTGTTTCTGTTGTCTTTCCCTTAGAAAATACTCTTTTTGTCGCTCAAAGTTTTTCTTGATAGTTTTAACAATACTAGCCCTATAGTAACCGATTTCATACGCCGATGCCAGTATACTGATTCTCGGTGAAACCGCTGAGTAAATTTCGTCGTCTCCCGGTACCGACACGCTACCATCACTTCCCTTTTTACCACCCCCCTGGAAACAAGTCAAGAGGAACGTATCATTTACGCTAAACCCTTTGATCTTTAAGAGTGACTAGCATCTAAATTCTCCTTACAATATCACCCCTGGGTCACGCATTAAGGTCATGAGAATAAAGGAAATGACCACCAACTTAAGAAGCTCGAGATTGCTAAACAAATTCTCCTTGTCAGCGCCTTAGGAAATGTATAAAGAACAGTATGGAGAATATGCATACCGTGATCTTAGGGCGTAAAGGGTTAACCAAGTAATTTTTTTGCATTTCTTTGCTTTATTTACTCCAAGCCAGACTGTACACAGCTCTCTAGGTTCTTGATCTATTCACTCTCGTATTTCTCTTCAAAGCTTGAAAAGTTTGACGAAATGTTATTGTTGATTATAGGAGATGCAGGAGAAAATAATGCCATCAAGACGTTGCTTGGACACCACTCACGAAATGTTCAAGTTTCTTCCACTAAAGGTGGGATTCTTTCTCTTTAGGTAAAGTAAAACGACGTGTTTTCTCCATGAATACTGTTATTCGTGCCTGCGATCAGTCTGATTGTCTGGTTATGATTGTGTTCTGACCGGAGACAAATTATTCAAAGCTATTTCCAAGACTTCAGGTTGAGTTTTGTTTGGTTGTTCTTTTAATCAGGAGCTGTTGGCCATCTTTTGGGAGCGGCTGGTGCAGTAGAGGCTATATTCACTGTGCTTGCTATACACCATGTGAGTTGTGTTACTGTGCTTCCTGATTACCACGACCATATGTTTGTGTGCTTTCCATATGCCAACGCGGCTTTGTGTGGCACAGGATCTGACTCAGTCCTGTGTTTGAAAGCTTCTTGTGGCTTTTTTTTTTTTTTACTTTTCTTAAGAGAGATTTTTTGTTTCCTCAAAGGGCGCTGTACCTCCCACGTTAAACTTGCACAACGTTGACTCAGATGAATTTAACTTAAACTATGTACCACTTAAGTCGCAGCTCCTAAACGAGGCTTCGGAACGACGGACACCGAGAACAGCGCTTAACAACTCATTTGGCTTTGGTGGCACGAATGCTTCCCTGTGTTTTGTCTGCTTATGAGACTTCCAAAGTACTTCGGATGTGGTCGAAATACTTCGTGACTTCGACGAAGTTCTGCAGAATTTCCGAAGGCCTCGTGGGTTAGTCTGGAGGGGTCCCTAAGGGGCTTCCAAAATACTTCGGATATGGTCGAGATTCTTCGTGACCTCGACGAAGTTCAGCAGGGGGCCTCGTGGGTCAGTCTGGAGGAGTTTCCGAAGAGCTTTCGGTCTATCATTATCCAATCACAAACAACTGTCGTTTCGGGACCGGGATTGATTTAATTATGGCCTCGGCTCACAAATTTCACGCAAATGGAAGAGATATGAACAACTTGCCAAAGAAGAGTTGAAACTGAAATATGTAAAAACAAGAAAATACTGTGTTCAAGAGAAATTGCAAGAAACTTTTATTGTTTTAGTCAGTTGTATTCCGTGATTCAGATGGCAGCAGGGTTACGTGCTGTCATCAATTGACACAAGCGAATTAAAGTTCATTAGTCAAATGGTATTAAATGCGACATTTTTCTTGTTCAAACAGTGTGACTTGGCATTCGATCATCTAATCCTACTGTGTAAGCATGTTACTGAACGGTTTTCAATTCGTTTTACTCCTTTGCGCTAAACTACGTGCGTGCATAATTTTTTGTCATTTTATTTGCCTAATTTGTTTGCAGTGTTCGTAGCCGTAATTTTAATAAGTTGCCTTCATGAAATTAGCAAGTCTATCATCATCGATTGATGCAACGTCGCAAAATCTATCCCTTGCGCATTTGTTGTACAATTGCAATTAGGAGGCTTATTAAAAGCAAACTCACATAACTCTCTCGTCTGGCTTGTGCGGAGGATCAATTTATTATCACCCATTTATTGTGTTCGTATTTCTTATAATCCGGAATTTTTAGTGAGCAGTATTGGGGACGTTGTTCAGATATAGCGATGCTGCTGGGTTGTACAATTTTTTGCACGTGCGATTGAGATTTATCGGTTCTTATGGTTTTGACAGAACAGATATTTTAGTTTGGTTATCCCCTGGAGGCAGGGATTTGATGATATATTATGGTCTTTAAAGTTATTTCGCGTCATTCGTTATGGCTTACATGTTTGTTTTGAGGAACAAATATTTACTTGGTGGTCTTTAACTTGCCAAAGACACTTATCATCGTTTTCAGTAATATCTATGGAACGACTTCTCTAGTATTAACTTTAATCCGAGACAAAAATTTTTTCGGTTATTTATTTATTATTATTTTTAATGGGCGACAGCATGCAGTCAATAAATCATGAGCAGGTTTAAACTCTAGACTGCATTACAGGACATACAAATACCTGATATCTCGGCAGGTCTTTTAACCACACTGTATTGACTTTTTAATGAGTTTGTCGCTTTTTGTGCCGAAACTCGCAATTCTTACTGTAGTTTATCGCGTTCCCCTCTGTGAAGAAAAAACCCGACATTCATTTTCGAAAAAAAAATGACGCGGGTCATTTTATATTAAAACCGATCGTTAGTAAGCATATATCCGCCTGCGCACTGGTCACCCATCGCAGGTAATTAGCAATTTTTCAAGGGTGCGAAAGCGACGAGTTATCCCAAGGTAAACGAATCGATCGGTGAATTGTCTTTCTTAACATCCTTTTCTTTAGGGAAATGAGTTCAAGGCAACAAGCCAGTCGCGCCAGTGTTACCAAACATTTGCATAAGGCCATAAACTCGTTGTGATCCGCTTTTGTAAAGTGAAAAATTGTGTATAATGCTTCACAATTCTGTATTTTTTTAAACAAAGCTTTGGGTGACAAGGGAAGCATTCCAGAGAGCTTCGTGAAACAACGATCGACAACACGTCAAATGATTATGCACGAAATCGCTTTTTGCACTGTGACTCACAAAACATAAGAGTTGTGCAACCCACTGCTACTTTGATCTGCAATAAAGTACAGTACAGAAGAGTTGAGCGTGAGCAAGTAATTGAATGGAAATCAAGTGAAAAGCTCGACTTATGGAACGATTAAGAAGGTCGAATAGCGCCGTATTTACGTTGCAAGTGGAAATATGAAAGATAACCAGCCATGTAATCTGGCTGCACGAGGTAAGTAAGTCATTTGCTTATGGTTTCCCAATTGGACTCAAAATTTGCCGCAAATTGCTGTTTTTTGAGCTGCTTGTGGCGTCGGGCGTAAGAAGATTTCTAATCGATAAATAGTTTTAGTGTGAGATGCAGTTTTAGCCAGGCTTCATTTCCTGACATTTTCGATTTCGAGCACTTTTTCCGCCTACAGTTTCCAGCAAATTTCTGAGCTGAGTTAGCAGATTGATAAATAACATTTTTTTTTATGGTAAGTATTTCCTTAATGTTTTTATTAAGATATTTATATTTATCACAGATTGCGTCGTTAATATAGTGATACACCAAACATGTACATAACGTTAGTATCCACTCTTCTCGTTATGAATTCAAGCAACTTGTTGCGTTGCTCCGCAACAAGTTCGGATTTAGTTAATCTTATCGATGAGTTATGTCTTTTAAAAGCTCCCCGCTGGATTTAAGTATGAAAAGGAAACAGAATCGTTTATCGGGAAAAAATCGATTTGATAAAGGATTCAAAGCGTGGCATTAGAGAGGTCGGATACTAGACGGACTGTCCGAAGTTCAACCCCTGTTTGGAGCGCGGGAAATGTCTTTTCTCGTAGTACCCATGAACTGTTGACTGAAAAAATTTCGTCGTTAAAGCAAAATTTGGTTTCACGTGTTCGTTTAGCCCTAAAGGTATCAGTATCATAAATGACAAACATTTACGGGCAGTATTCCAGATTTGGTAGCAAAAAATTCTGAGCTGACAGCGCGGCTTAGTTATCGAAATCCACGTATTTTATTAACTGCGCAACTAGGACACCAATTTCACCATCGAGTAATGATTTTATGCTTTACTTCTTACACCGAAACAACACTTTTTAAATTCACAGTACATCTTACATGTTATGTTGTTCATTCTCAGTGGACTAAATATATTTCCATAGCAAACCAGACTTGTATTTTGGTAAAATTACCTTGGAATTTAGACAAAAAGTTACAAATTGTTTGGCTTAAGACTGGAACATTGTCGATAGCTTTATTACGAGAAAAAATAAGTTAACAGACACGGGAATAACTTCTTTTCCGACCCGAAACGGATCTTTACTTAAGTGTTGCGCAAAGTTGTAGGTTGTGATAACTTGAATTGTTTAACAACGTGGGTGGATGAATCAGTTTACATAACAGTGCTCTTGAAAACCTTATCACCTTGGGGGACAGAGTTTATTTGAATATAAGCGAATAGACTGAAATAATTGTTCGAATCTGACAAAGCTCATTCATTAGTTAACTTAAATTCATTAGTTCACCATTTTTCCTCGGCCCCAACGCTTTCTTTTGAAGGTAATTTCGACAGGAGTGCTTGTTTTCCAGCCAAACTTTGAAATATTTGCTTAATAAGGATTTGAATACGAAATGAAAAATTTGGCTCAATCTCTTTCACTTTATTACTAGCATTTTGCAATGATAAGCTTTATATTTCTAACAAGTAGATGCATATTAAATTTCTCTTCCAGCACAAGGACTTTTTCATTCGTTTTACCTCCAAAGTTTTTTTCATATATCTAAAGCAGCAACAAAAACAAACAAACCCTGTTTAAACAAAGTTACTTTAGGATCTACGCCTTGTGCAAATGCAAAACTTAATTACATCTAACACACAGAAAACGCCAAAAATAGTATATGACGATTGTATAAAAGTATTCTAGAAAGACCCCGAACACAGAAAAGGACAAAGAACGCTTAAAAGGCCATTGTTTTTATTTTTGTTCTCCTTTTCAAATAAAAGCTGTAGTCACTTATTGGTCATGAAGCATTACACATGCTATGCTTTTGTGCGTCAAATTGATGAGCGGATTTATTTACGCATCGTAATATCGCGCGCCTTGCATGGTTTCAATGTAATCCTTACATTCGCTATGATCGCCATAAACTTGACCAGCGACTGTATCAATCCCATCAATCATAACGATCTTCAAATAACGGCGTCTGGAACCATTGAGATTAAATCAAATAAAGTATCTTGTTGACCGTAACGATCATGTAGACAGCAGATCTCGTCCATTGGGGATCCTAGCAATCAAGAGCATCACGAAAAACATTACAACATTGCTTCATATATTCCGGATCACCGTTGTTTTTGTTCTCCTTAGTGATCTCAAATTATTATAACGATCGCTGAGGCCTTATGAGGGAAATTTTTTTTCTGTCAAGGTTCTCATGTATCTTCATTTAGTGTTTATCACCGTCGCCTACGTCTCTCGGCCCGTAAGATAGTTTTAGGCCTTCAGCAAAGAGAACCGGGAAGAAGTATGCACAGGGTTTGAGACCAATGGCAGACTTCTCCCTGGCTGGCCTCAAACTTCCTTACTGGCGACCAAGGGCTTGTTACCCCAGAGGTAGTCTCGTACCCAGACCTTCCACGGCCTAGCAGTTAGACGGTAGGATTCGGGTACGAGATTAGCTCGCAGACAACCCTCGCTTGCGTGGTTTGTAGCTAGGGTTAATAATTTTATTTTATGAAGACGGGATATTGCCTACCATCAGCATATATGTGATTTGTCGATTCCACATAAGTTGTTTTTCGCTTCTAGCAAAAGTGGGAAGCATATTTTCCAAGACGTCTGCATCAAGGTTTCCTAATGTAGTTACTTACCTCAGTTAGTTAATTCCATCGAAAAAGGCAATCTCCTTTTTGTCCGCTAACATATCGATCTACATCACAGGCGAAAATGCTCTCAATAGGGGCATGAAGGTTTTAATTTTTCAGAGGATATGACCTCTCCAAAAGGCGTCTTGGATTAGTATTGGTGAGGAAAATTGTTCGCTTTTGTCTTTTTTGAAGACGTACAGTGTATTTGCGAAACATTCTCCTCAGCGTTCACATATTCTTTTACTGTAAATCGTATTTCTCAAGAAAATATTTGACCCAAAATGGAACCTCACGTCTACGCTGAAAAATGTGCGAAAAATTGTAAGCTTCTCTCATGCGCTCAAATAGACTGAGATTGCGGGAGAATGAAAAAGTTGTAGATTTTACCGGCATTGGTCACAAACACATTGAGAATGAGTAAAGGGCGAATACAAGTAACAGAGACTCGTGCAACCATCAACTAAAAACACTTAAGAGAAGTTAAAAGTGTTCATTCCTGTTGCTCACTACACCTTTTTGGTCAACACAATTTGGTCGATATTTTAGGGTCAACGCGCCACTGAGTTAATTATATTATTCTTCCGGTTGACGCCAGCGTTTCAAAAATAACTCCCCTTAAGTTTTTCATTGATATTAAATTTTCGTTGGAATTTTTCTCTCCTGTTCAGATGTGTGTCTTCATTTTTTATCAGTTACATTTATGTTATAATGAATAGCTGTTGTAGAACTCCATGAGAAAAGTCCATGCCATTCCAGAATTTTCCAACTGGGGTCATTGGCGGTATGAGCTG